AGAAATATATTTACGGTTGAAAAATTATGAATTCGTTCGAAAGAGGTCTGAAATTTGTTTGATTTAATGAATGAGATGAATGAATGAACTGAGCTTAAAGCAATAAATTCCTTTTGACTTTGACCTTAGAATCAGCACAATGGAGTCAGTTTTTTTAAATAATTATGATTAATGGAACTTCTACCAGGTTAAAATATGATCAATATGATGATTAGATATTTCCTGCTGTAAATGTCATTTACAGTTTTTATGATATTAAATACATAATAAAATTGATTTGTATTGTTGGTTATGACTCAGGGATAACGATAATTATTACTGTAAAAATTAATTAACAATGATTGTATTAGTAAAAAGAAATATTGCCCGTAGGGGTCCAAATTTTTCTTGGTTACAATAAACAAATAAAACATGCACTGAGAGGCTCCTGTAGAAATTATATACTCTATGAGGTGACTTACATAGCACTGTATTCAGAATTGCGCAGCCTCAAAGAAAATAGTAAACGCCCTTGTCACTGAAGAGAATCCATATTTTTACCTGGTGCCTCAAAAACAGTGCATGGTATATTTGATCCATATCGTTCATCAAAAATCAAACTAAAGGGATAAACTATTCATAAAGCTGAAAATATCATCTAATCACCAGTTTTGTCTCCACTAATTAAGACAAGAAATATGAAAATATTTCTAAAAGAATGGGGTTAACTTCAATGATATTCTAATTTCTCAGTCACATTAGTACACTGTACACTGCCATTATGCGTCGCAGTGCGCACCCTTTTGCGTGGGGTGTCTGACGTCAAATGAGGTATACCCATGATATACCCGGTTTGGCGTTACACATATCCAATTTTCTTTTAAAGTGGAAATGTTTTACATCACATGAGCCATTCCTGACCACTCCCTGCACTGGAATTCTGTTACAGATGAATGTAGTTATGTGAATATATAGACATTGATCTGTTCACATCAGAATAATCTATTCATGCCCTACTTTCACTCTTAGCTGCATGGTCATTAATCATACAACCATTATCTTATTAGTATTCAGCTCTGCTTTGATTTATTTCCTCTGTCGGTGCTCTCTAGAATCATAAATATGTCCTGTATTAAACTAGGTCTTAATCTGGCTCAAGGCGACTGTGTGTAAATTATTCAGAGTTTGATACCCTGTTTCTGGCATTGTTTTGCTACTGTCATACAACAGATGACTTCATCTTTTTTTTCTCTCTCGTTGTAAATTACATCGTAAAAGTGAACAAATTCCACTTCTTTACAGAAATAGCATTTAGTTTGGAATTTCATAAAACCCTCACAGTTTCAAGATGTTGGACATGAAGGATGCAATTAAGGTATAAGATATTGGATTTTGTGATTTGGTTTGTAGTAGAAAATACTATTTTGTAACTTTTATTATTTCTTAATTCACATAACATGATGTTTTTTAAACATAGGCAATCTAATAGCTGCCTTTGGCTATGAGAAATAAAATGTTTTCAAATTCATGAGAAAGGTGAATTTAAAAAAAACTAATCTAGTAACACAGATTTCAAGGGATGTTGACGAGTAAGATATTCTTGTAAACCAATACTTTGTTTCTTCTAAATCTGTGCTATTTTTTAACTTTGTTTTGCATTACCACAATGAAACAGAATCTGGTAATCCAGTGATGCATAAAAAGGGTGATTTATCTTTTATGAGGGGCTGACCATAAAAATTGCCCATGTCATTAAACATTCAGTGGATTTACCCCAACATTGATCCCAATGGGAGACCTCGGTAAGTATGGCATAGCTGACTCACAAAAAGGGAAAGCAGACATAGTGGTCAGAATACGAAACCGTTTGGGGTTTTATGTTCGAGATAGAAGAAGGAGAGATGAAGGGTTGAATGAAATGAAGTATGATCGAAACTGGTATGGGATATCTACTTGAGAAAGCAGGATGGTGGATGTACAAATAAGAACTTTACTAAGCAGAATAAGGAATTGGTAGGTTATAAGTTTATATGTACCATAGATGATTCAGGGGTCAAATATTATTTAATATTTTATATGAGCATTTTTATATACACGCTGAGATTAAGGGTGTTGAGAAGGACTAATTACAGGTACTTGTGATTTGGTAGGGAATTAAGTTATAGATTAAATGTCATGTAGATCCTTTTCAGGGAGGCTCAATTCTGTATTATTTGCTGTTCTTAAAAGGAGTATGAATAAAAGGCTAAAATGGATCTTTGAAAAGTGGCTACACTCCTTTTTTATCAGTCTTCCCCTCAAACCTGGCCTCTCTTCAAAATTTCAGCAGCATATGAAACATGACAGCTTTGTCACCTGGGTGCCATCAAGGTCCAGGTAGTGCAACTTAGTTAGAAAGGTCACGATAAGTTAAGTTCATTATGCTATGGTTTGTGTCAAATTCGTCCTGTCTTTCTGCCGGAAATGAAGATGTGTTTAGGGAGTAATAGAGGGTGAAGTTTAGAACCTCCTCTCCAATTAGTGCAAGTCTGAGAGACACTATGTTCTTGCTATTGGAATGATGGTGGTAAGGTGGCAAGATGCACCTTAGGTCTGATATACGGGTAATAGGGTAGGAGTAGGCCCAGCACCCACCCCTCTAATAATTACAAACCTTAGCAGTAACTTGAAATGTGTCTTTGGTATTATATAGATAATTGTATCTACCATCCCTGAAAGTCGTTAAAAAATGTTTCTAGATAGGAGTGGCCTTTCTTATGATCTGTCGCTTCCTTTGATATAACCTACATGTAGGTCCTTATCTGATTTGATTTCAGTATTGTTATTGTTATTTTTGTTGTTGTTGTTGAGAGGGGGTTGAAACTATTGAAAAACTGTGCAAGTACATTGTGGTAAGGTTATGCTAAGTCAGCTAATTGTTTTGTGTGGAATATTCATACAATAGCTAACAGAATCGTAAGAATGAGGAGAATTAGATCATTTCCTGAGAGCCAGAAGAGTATTAACTTCATTTGTATAAAATGTGAGTTAACGCCTTTCTGGCTGACAGCAGACAAAGGAGCAGGTCAGATTGTATCTTATTTTGCCCAGTCTTGTATAAAAAGCCACCTGTAAGCAAGGAAGGGCAATCTTGCAAACGTGTCACAGTGTCTGCACCAAGTAATAGCTCTTTCTAGCTTCAGAGGTTCACCTCAAGGTATTTTCTTCCCGATTTTCTTAGTCGATGATGTATGAGTAGAACATCACGCCAGCTTGCAGATGTACAGGGTGTCTCAGCAAAGTTAGGATAACCTCAGGCAAAAATTATATGCAATCACCTGAACCAAGTAATAGCTCTTTCTAGATTTAGAGGTTCACCTCATGGTCCTTATATTTGATTACTTATGCATGAGTCTGCAGATATTCAGGGTGTCCCCGCAAGATTGATATTCTTAAGGCATAAAATCATATGCAATTGTCTGCACCATATAATTGCTCTTTCTTGCTTTAGAGGTTCACCTCAAGGTATTTTCTTCCTGATTTCTTAGTTATGTATGAATAGAATATTAGTTTATTCTTTGGTAAAATAGGGTGTCCCAGCAAAATATGATCATAATCCCAGGCTTCAAATAATGCACAAGTATTACTCTAGGGTATACCAAATATATCTGTCTGTTGTGATAATCATATTATAATCATGATAGTAAATAATCGTATTCCTTCTTTCAAATGATCATCCTGGAGTGTGTTTCATTCAACAAATATCAGATTACTACTAGATGAAAAATGTAATTATTCACCATACATTCTATATCCCAGGAAATATTTTATTGATTTTCATATTTGATTGTAATGCTTTTATATTTTATTGTAATTTATATTGTATTTTATGAATCTTAAGTTGAAATTAAAGTTACCCGGTAATCATTATTGTTGTAATATCATGTCATATTTTCTAAGAATCATTACCTGAGTCAAGTTACAGCAAATTTGGATTTTTATAGTTTTATTGTTGTATTTCACACATTTGAACTAATAAGTGTTACTTCGTTCGATTATAGGAGTGTATAATTCATTTTGAGAACTTTTTCATTGTAAGCAACATATTTGTATTTTGTATCATCGAATGAAGCCATGTAGTAGACAACTATGTCCTAAGTAAAGTTTGTCAGAAAAGTGCTTTATTATGGATGCCATTTATTCGCAATGCATGTTACCACTAAATACTGATAATGCCATGTTATTTTATGAGTGACTCAAGATTCACATTTTCTGCCATTTCTCTCACATTTCAGATTTCTTTTACAAGTAACTTTTTATTCATATCGAAAGATTTTCACCTCACTTGTCTGCATTTTTTGTAGATATTATAAGAGCATGAATATGTACTACACTGATTGAATGACTTAACTTTCTCCATCAAATATATTTTTATAAATGAATGAATATTAATTTTAATTAGCATGATAATAGCATGTTCCAAATCTAGGAGTCTTTTTGATATAGATGATTAATTCTTTTTCTGAGGCTTTTTCCCTCATTCTTGCTTTGTAAGATTGTGTAAATCTTTTTTATCCCTTATCCATTGCCAAGCAAATAGGAGCAGATTTCTTCTCACATTTACTCTCCCTCGAGCAAGATAAGGCTGCAAGTTAAAATAGGATCTCTGGATCTAAACCATCCCTAAGTCATGTTCATTTACATAAGTTTGAAGAAGAAATCATTGAAATATTACCCAATTGAACAATTCTTAGGCAAATTCAAGGTGATTTGTTCCATACATTACAGAGTCCTAGACTACATCAAACATTTTAGTACTATGGTAATGGTACAAAATTGTGCATTAAGAATTTGAGTATAATTAGTATTATGTGGGACACAGCATAACCATATACCTTGGACTTTCCCTCTTGTATATTAACTTTCTTTACATTTCATGTTTGGGTACTCTATCCTTCCTTTAATATTGTAGATAGGTTCATGAGATAGGTCCACATGCCCTAGCTGTTATGTAATCCTATTCTGTATCTTTCACCCGACAGACGGAGGGGACGCTTTCCCTGAGCTTCCGAACCAACGAGCCATCGGGCGTGATCATGTACAACCGAGGTGCTGATCACATCACAGACTTCTTTGCTCTGGAGTTGATGGATGGCTATCTGCACCTGATCCTAGATCTGGGATCTGGATCTATTCGCTATAGGGCCGATTCTCTCCCGCTCAATGATGGTCTCTGGCATTCAGTCCTGCTCTATAGGCATCATAATAGAGGAACACTACAGGTAATCTAGTGATGAATGTAATATCTTGTTTTTGTTTAACGTACACTATTTAGTGTACAGGAATAATCAAAGTTACAGTGTTGGATTGCTTAATCAGAAAGAAATATCATTAGTAGATGAAGCTATGGTCTGTATCTTCTTGTTCCTTTTGAAAATTACAAAACGAACCCTACAATCAGGGTATCGATATTGGTGGACTTTGAAATTATTAAAGATGAAAATTTTGCAATAGATAAAAACAAAGTAAAACAAGTGAAAGGAATTATTTCATTAGATATTTTAGGAAGTTCTCTAATGATACATGCAAATCATGTAAAAGGATCTAGCACCAGGAATAATTAGAGCAAATATTTATTAAATTATCAAACATTCATGACTGATAACAGTCAAGGAAATTAATGCTAAGTCATGTAACTACTGACCTTCCAAATTGCAAAACAGTAGTAAAGAAAACATGTTTTGAAAAAACTACAATAAATGTTGCTCTTCATATCATTGACTTCATACAGCATTTCATAAGTGCTGTAAACAAATTTTTCTCTCACTGCTATGACAACTTGAACAAATCCCATTTGTGCCATTCACAGATTGACAATGAAGACCCAGGCAAGTTTAACGTTGGAGGTACAAGTAAGCATCTCAACCTGGTGGACCATCTGGTGCTTGGAGGAATCGATTTTGTGAACGATTCTAACTTCCTACCAATGGACCTGTACAGTGGGGCATTGCGGAGGGGCTACGTAGGGTGTCTCAAGAACCTGGTCCTACAGGGGACCTCCATTGATCTTCCTAGCTATGCTCTAAGACAACATACTGGTAATGAGATTGGAGTCTACTGCAGGTACGTCTAAATGTACATCTTGGAAGTGATCCAATTGTCCTGGACTAATAATGCCTGTGGGTCTATATTGATAGTGGTGGATAATTACAGTAAATGGGCATGAACTTGTCTTTTCAGGACCAGTGAAGCATTACCTCTATGGATAATGCTATTAATTAACACCCTTCTGGCTCTATTTTTTTGACATTTTCACTTCAGCAATACAATAGCAGTTTTGATGGGCATAGATCATTCATTATCATTTAAATATGTATGACAGTCGTCATGATGTTTTCATTGATAATTTGTTGTTATATTTTTTCCTTGGAGTTTGGTAATTGGTAAAAGAGAAATTGTTTTGATGCTCAGCAAATTCACAGGGTAACAATTTCCAAAGTTCTTTGGAAATGCATAGGAACATGATATGTGCATGATGCTATCCAAGGCCAGGATAGAAGTGTTTGTTATGATTATTGTACGAGCCTAATCTATTCATGTGTGTATTTTGTTGAAACATATTGCAATCTAGCCTCATCTGTTCTTTGACAATGTAGGGATGAAGAAGGGCAGTGTCCCAGCACCCCTTGTAGTCATGAAGGAACATGCACGGAAGGCTGGAACAGGTATATCTGTGATTGTCGTATAACTGGCTATACGGGAAAGACATGTGACGAAGGTAGGTTACCATGGCAACTAGCCACATTCTACTATTTCTTTGGCTGGCATGTTTCACTCGCGTCACTCTAACGCACCGACTGTAGCTTTATTAGCAATTGAAGAAAGTTCTTTATCTGAAGCGCAGGGGCTGTCTAGACTGAGAATAGCTTATTGGAAAGTGAGATCACATGTGCTGATATGTTGCTGGAGACTTATTCAAAAGCACTGAAAGATATTCATCTATATCTGCCACACCCGTCTGGGTTCTTGAATTTGCCACCCTCGCATGTACTTTATTGGTTTGGCCGTTAAAATATGCGATTGCAGTCCTGATCGAATGTTCTTTTCTGAGAAATTAAAAATATTCTTCCAAACCTGACTTTGTGATGTAATTTCAAGTTTTTTTCCAAACATGGAATAATTCAAAAGGGGTGAAATGAATCTATGGATCAAATACTCCAAGAAATTTCTCATTATTTATCAGAACACATTGATGATCTCACTTGTAATATGCAATTTAGAATCATCAAATCTACTGCAGATTTTAAAAAAATAAAGTGAGCTCAAATTCTATTCTTGAAAACTTCTTTCTTTTCACTGGATTTAGCCTTGATATAGGGCTGCCAGTTTGTTTATTTGACATCAAATGATTATGTCATATGGACTTCTTGCTTCCTCTTGCACTCAAATTGCTGCATTTTTATTTCTCACACAGTATGAAAGGCAAAAGTATTTGTGAATTTAGGTTTTCGAGGAGTATGTTCTTTGTAAATACCTTGAAATATGGGGATGCACCTTAATGTTGTTCATTTGCAAACAAGCAAAGGGTTTTTGTGCATGGCATGTGGATTGGATTGCGGTGTATTTTGCACAAAGTTGCTTGAAGATAATACTACTCATCAATACAATGTTGAAGTCTTCTCCTTATCTTCTCCTAATCCATTTGATATAGCCACTGATTGGTACTGCATCTAGGTTGCTTGCATCCAAGAAACCAAGTCTTGGAAACTTTAGTTATCTTGGACCAAATATTTTAAAATGTTAGTTTTGTGTTCAAGAAGAAACTTTTTATTTATGAAACTTGATAAAATTTTGCATATCGACTGATATCAGTTTTGATTGGATCTTCTATCAAAGGAATCAGCAAACACATGGAAGTACCGGGTATGTGAATGTGAGAACGATAGTTAGGTCATGTTGCTATATTTTGGGCATTATGAAAATGTAATCGATAGTCTAGTCCTTTCTACATGTCAAACAAGACCGAGTTGGGGGTGGTAATTAAATGATTGTAAATTTGGAGATTATCAAATTGATGATAAAGCATAAATTTATTTTTCAACAAGGACAGCTATTTACCTAGATGTGATCCTTTCAATGAAGTTGAGAAGATAACTAGTAATTTTCTAAAATAGCAACCTGGATTTGCTTGTGACCTGAAAGCTTATGACATCAAATGGATTCTGAGATAGTAAGGAGATATACTGTCTCTTTCTTCAAATTGCATTTCTTAATTTGTCTATCCTTTCTCTTGAACCCTAGAGCATTTGCACTTGCATGATTAACAAATGCGCATAGTAATAATGGCTTTAGTAGAAATTGATGAAATGCTCAGAGGGAATGGGTAAATTTGTAGATTACCCAATGTTTTTCAACTGTTATGTACATTTTAGATTAGTTTATTCTTCAGAGAGGGTGTCATATTAACTTCAAACTATGTCAAGAAGGGTTTCTTAATGCTGTGTAAAGTAACTAAATAGCCAAGTATGCCTGGCACTTTACAAAAATTGAAAGAAATACATATGAATTGGGTCAAGAAATTTGCCATCTCCACTTTTGAATGAAAATTAGTCAAACCTCATTCTGGAAGACAGATGTGGACTTCAATTCATTGATTCTCACATTACTGTGTTTGTTATAAGATAACATCTTTATTTTTCACCTATCAACACTGTATACTGTTATCATTTCAATCAATTAATGGCATTTTATACCTGAGGGTTTTATTCTTAGAAGAAACTAAAATGCAATCTTCAGGGCGTATTATGACACCCTTTCGGATGATACTGCTCTAACATCTAGAATTGTCATCTTTCTACTAACATTCACATTTGCATGCTTTCCAACTGACTTCAATGGAATGATGGATTTTAAGTTCCCTCACCAAATTGCTACTTGCCTTGTGCCATCCACTCTATTTAACTCTCATTTGTGTTCACATGAGATGTTCCAAAATTGATATACTATCCATCAGCCAAGTTTATAGGTTTCATGTTTGTAAGAATGTCAATAAAATATTCCTTATTTTTAAAAAAGGAAACAGGTAAATGGGTTCTTTATGTATCAGCGGAAACATTCATGAAGTAGATTACCTCATCAAAAAGATGGATGATTTTGAGGTAATGGCAAAACTCAATATCTTTCCTAGCATGATACATTTTTCTTTTTGAGGGAAGGAACATGATCATATATGTTGAAAGAGGATCTAGAGTTGGAATGGAATGTTTTAACCAAAAAAAAGTCAGTTGGAAAGGCATTGCTGTCTGTTTTGTGACTAATACTGTGTGTGTTCAGCTGTTCACATATGTACACATGCAGACGTCATTATCTTCTTAGTTTGTGCATCTTGACTAATCTTTTGCAGGCTCCTCTGCAAGATCTAACCTTTCTTGATTCACTCTCCAAAACAGCATACTTCTGTTCTCTGCTTTACTCATAGATATTTTAGTGGAAGATCTCTTCTTAAACAAGATAACTATCCAGTGAATTTCATTGGCAATACCTGTTATACTACCATTTCTAGTCAATCTAAACACTTTTATTTTTTTTCTTATGTGTGTTAAATCTTTATAAAATAAAACATTACAACGTGTATCCATCTTTAAAAATGATTTCAATTTGTGTTTTTTTCTCTCCTTACTATTATTTCTGTTTTGAGATCTTCCAGTAAAATAATAGGAATAGTATCTCCTTTTAGTAACTACCATCCATCCCCATTTTTGCTTCCATGACATCTACTAACAATTCTCTGCTTGCCCCTACTCTTCCAAAAATTGGAATCCTCCTCCTCCTCCTTCTCCTCCTCCTCCATCTTCCATCCTCCTAACAATCTATCCCTCAAATGCTGCATCACTTTCTCACGAAAAATCCTAACCTGCTCTGTCACTTGCTCTGTCTGCTTTTCATCAGTGTTCACCGAGGAAGGAGGTGAGTTTTACTAACATATGTGAGAGCATGTGAGATTAAGGCTAATTTCCTGGAATACATACAGTTACTAAAAATGTGATTTTGTCTTTTTAATGGATAAAGATGCAATAAATTGTAGTGACTTTGATTGTAGATTAGAATGGCTGATGGGTGATTGCATCATGAACTTGCATGCATCTTGAAATAGCATTGAAACAGATTTTTTTTTTTAAATGGTGTTTTTTTTAAATAACTTTTTAAGACTCTTAAAAAACAAGAATTATCCACCCCTTCCCTCTCTCTCTCTCTCTCTCTCTCTCTCTCTCATATTCTCTATAAAAAAATTCTCTTTTTACCTTTATAAATCTATTATTTATCTATTTATCCGCAAGAGTCTTCTATGAAAGCTGCACTACTTGAATAGAAATCGGACTGGGTCAAGGAACATGAACTTAACCCATTACATACTGACTGATTTCATCCCCTTAGGCTCTATAGGTGCCAACTGGCTCCCATAGCCAATGGGTTAACAACTTCATAATTTCAATTACAGCATCGGCCAGTGGTTTAACCGTTTTTGAAACAACCATAACAATCAAAGTAGATAAATGATTGAGGACTCATTGTGCAGTCAACCGACTGATTACACCTTTGCATTATTAATGAGATCTCAACGGGGGATGGATAGCGCCATGTTTGCAGCTAAACTGAATGGCCTTCATGCATTCTACCGAAGGGAAATGGAATTTTGTTTCAATTCAGTAGAGGTGCTCCACCTATATCACACATTATTTCGCACATTAAAAAAAAAAAAAAAAAAAGCATAATGGAGATGAAATAACCAGAATCGTTAGTACTAAAGGGGGAGGGGATGTGCATTCTAAAGACGTTATATCATAGGGTGGTTTGGCTGCTAGTGCCTCCCCTCAAATTTATTCTTGATTAAAAGATCATTAATAGATAGCTATCCTGCCCTTACATTTTAGTGTTTTTTTCCGTCTAAGCACTGGGTTTTTAGAAGTACCAATAGAGCCATGTTATGCTGTATTAGATTTAATATCTTTTTTTGTTATCCATGCAAAAGTTCAGATTCTGTTCTTGGATTTTACAAGCTCAGATACTCAAACTTACATAGAGTACTTTAATTGATTGCTTGGTTTATCCATGCAGTAATTTCCATTTGTATAATAAGGTTTCAAATTAATGGATCCAAAGACTTTGAATGAGGAACAGTAGATGGGTCACAGTCCCTGTCCTCTTAGAGGCTCTGATTCTATAACCATGATGACCATCCCCTCTTTGCGTCCTCTCCCTCACACAGAGGTAGCACGACTGTCATTCAATGGTAACCAGTACATGCGCATCACGGTGTCAGCAAACTCCCGTAGCAAGGTAGAAGACATCTTCCTCAGGTTCCGCACACGCTTCCCGGACGGCCTCCTGGTAGCAACCTCATCCGATAACGTGATTGACATGCTGATGGTGGAGGTGAAGCAAGGTTTGATACGAGTGATCACCAACTACGGTATTGGTCAGACGATGATCACCGCAGGACACGGTCTGGATGATAATCGATGGCATGCAGTCCATGTCCAGCGGCGAGATGACCGTCTCATGGTCACTGTGGATAATACTGACAGAGCAGAAGGTAAGGACAACTATCTGTTCTGCTCAATAAAAATGTGTTTTTTATATTAATTTCATGTTTCTGTTGGAACTTCTCTACTTCTACAAAATTCTATTTTATATATCTTCAGCTAGTCCATTTAAACTGTCTTTCTCTCTATTGATCTCATGTGATTCTGTTGCTCATCTTTTTCTATCATCATTATTATCCAAAATATATAACTTTCTTTTCCAGTTTCATATATTTCTAGGAGGAAAGAACTCCATTTCTGTGAATATGCATATGATAACCCTTTGTGGATGATTATCACAAAATATTTAAATGTATATATTTTTCTGTCTTCATGAGCTATACTTTCCTTCACTCTTTCATCTCTCATCAAGTTATGAGCATCTCTTACTTTGAAAACTGACCAGAAGGTGTTTATTCGAGTTAGTTAGGAAGCAGAAAGTCCAAAACAGAATGTCAGAGAATGCTTTATGTTAAGATTAATATTATGAATGAATTCAATTATGTTCTTGTGTTAGGCTTCTGTCATAAATTTCTATGACATTTTTTTAACTGAATCTATTTCGACCTTTGTTAAAATACAAATGGTTCTTTGAATTCCGTTTATCCTATAAATTTTTTATAACCCTCCACAAGAAGATTTATTTTCATCTTACAGAAACCTATTGAAGCTTTATTCAGTCTTTCCATAAAGTCCTTGAAAAGTCCTTCATATTCTTTCAAGTATGTAGTGGATCCCACTCAGAATATTTTCTTATCAATGGCTTCTTCAAAGCCACTGGTAGGAAAACCCCTCCAAAGTTGATCCTAATCTATGGAAAAGACTTCTTTTTTGTGGTTCATATACCTTAAATACTTCATTTTCAATCTCTTGCATAGTCTGTCTATCCTTTCTCTCATGTATTTGCCATTTTTCCTTTATCCAGTACTATGAATTTATCATTAACTATCAATTTCTTTTACCAGATACAAGTTTCTTTTCTCATGCCTTCATCAAATATATAATGGGACTATTGTCTTTATTTCTTATGATATATCTTTTTGTTATCAACCTCCTATGTGTTTCATATACTATTTGTTCTGTGTATGAACATCTCTACAGTTATCAGAATTTTATCCTATTAGTCCCATATGCATCTTGTCATGTTAGTCATGTTAGACTCCCCGTACATGTAGCTGTTCCTATTGCATTCTAAATCAGTTTTTTTTTCTTCAGTGTTTGCTTATCATATGTATTCTCATTACAATCATGAACATTCCAAACTTCAAAACAATACTGATTCATCGATCTGCCAGTCAAAATACAAATACATGTATGATGTGGAACAAAATTAATGTGGTATTTGCATTACGTAAAATATCCATTATTAAAGTTTCCAGTCTTTGAATATATTTTTATTTTTTATTTCATATCTGTTTTTATAATCTTTGGGTTCAACTTAAATTTTGATATCTTTTTCCAAACTTCGTGATTATTATAATATCATCATTCATTTGATGGAATTGAGCTATCATATCTTGCAAAATGTTTTTGTTGTCATTTGGTCAAACACTTAATTTAAAAGCTTATGTATCATTATGTCTATGTACTAACATCTGTGTGTAAATCAAATTGTTCAAATACTAACAATCTAGTTTATTCATCTTTACTCCCATTGAGAAGCTTCAAGAAAAGTGCAGAAGAAAGAAATTCAACTAATTTAATTTAGGAATGACTATAGACTTTCATTTATCCAGAAACCTATACTTGACTTTATTTGTACTCAACTTATATGCCTCTTTCTTTAATTATGATGAAGGAAAATGGCAAGCCAATTTTCTTATAAATGCTACTATAAAAATTATCTTATTACATTTGCATTGAATTCCATATTTTTTTAGATGAGATGGATTTCAGACATCAAGAGAATAAATTTCTGAGCTTTCTTGCTTCAAGATGGGTCTTAGTGAAGATGAATATTTAATTTAAGTTTTGTCCAGGTGTATTATCATGTTTATTTTTATTTTTCTCCCATTGATAAAACATTGATAAATCTTGAAACAGATAATGTGCCTCGTCATCCTAATAATGGTGAGATAAATGAAGAACGATCTAGAAGACTTTGATGGTCTGTTTGGACTATTTGGAATGAAGTTTCTTCTTTGTTGAATTAATTTACTGATGAGGCATGATATTCTGACAATTTTTACCTTTCCTTCGATTTTATTTGTTCTCAATGAGGAATGTCTAGTGATGATCGGATCAAACATGATCATTGATTTCTTTTTGTTTTTTATTCAACAAACAGTCTGAGTTATACTTTAGACTGCTTTATTTTCTTTTTAGAGAATGAATAACACAAACCAATACAAGTGCACTTTTATCACAATTTTCACATTTGATAACAACACAGCACAAAACTTTGCATGATTTTTAAGCATGTACCTGCATTGCACCTAGATAGATGCTAATAAATCATTTTTTAAAATTCATTTTGCACTTAGTGGGCATATCATAACCTGTTTGCATTTCTCTTCTTTCTCTGTATGTGACTTATTACTCTTTTTTTGAGCTGTAAAGAGATATTTTGACGGATATAATCAATTTGAATAGGGCATGAAGCATGCTTTAACAAACTCACTATTATTCTACTAACACAACTAACACAGCCTGGACAATTGTCTAATATTGTGCTCATATATCCAATCTTGTTGATATAGTACTAGCATGTTTACTTTGAAATTCAACTGACTATATTGTGTCACTTTGTTCTGGAAATGTGAATTAATATTTTACAATGATTTATATTTTGAATGGTCAACAACAAAAAAAGTGATTTCAAAGCCCTCATACATTACCATGCCATTATTTCAGATTTATTTTTTCGAGAGATTGTTTTAAACATCGAGAGCCAAAATTAAACAATCATGTTTCTAAAATTACCAATTTCAAGGGGTAAAAAAAAAGCTCTTTGTAGGTTTATCTTTCTTGAAAACATTTCTGTAGATTTTCCCTCTTTTCTACAATTCAACCAGAATGGATGCTGCCTTCCAAAACAATGAAAAGCTGCCTCCTTCTTTGATACTTTAAAGAATGGTTAAGAACCAACTTTCAGCCTCTTGCCTGAATTTCTTACTACATTTCTTTCCCACTACTTAAAGTATAGCTGAAAATGCTAGATATCATTTTTCTGGTTTATGCTATGGTTCCTTTTGTCAGATGTCCTTGATTCCAAGTGAGGTTAGAAAGAATATATTACTTGAAATACCTCTGCCAGAATTAATTTTATAAGAAAAGGGGCCCTCTAATTTGTTGATGATGATAATTTTTTTCCATATGAGTCATCAAGAGCAAACCAATTATATTGCTATCCTTAATTTTTTTCTTTTCTCTGTGAGATGAAATTATGGCTAAAAACGTGTGAGGCAGAGGCCCATTGCAAATGAATTAAAATCAGTTCTTAAATTTAAGGGAATATAATTTATTTCAAATCCGAGTTTCAAATGACTCCCCCCCCCCCCCCCCCCCCCCAAAAAAAGCCTATATAAGAAATCAGACTTTGATCATTTTTAAGGTTGAAATACACAAGCAAACGTTTATATTAGTAGTTGAAAGCATGAAAAATGCATCCATTTTGGGTGACCTTAAGTCTGACAGAAGGAACCTCATTCTCACACCAACTTTTTTCTCTCTCATATTTGCACTCATGTTTTCTCTTTCCACCATGCATTCCTGCCTGCTACTTCATCATGACCTTACTTGAACTCTGACCTCTATCTTCAAACAAAATTCCTCTCAAAACTTGGAATCTTCCTTGTCACTCTCACCTTCACAAATCCTTTCTGACCTATGAACTTTGAACCTTCTTGGCACGCTCTAAATCTCTTCCGTGTATGTGTCACGGCAAACTCTTCTTCTCCCAGCATTTAACATAACGTATGGAGGTGAGTATAGGTTTTCTGCTGGACGACTGTAAGCCCATCTTTCATAATCCCCATCTTAATCTTCAGCTTGCTATGATCCCTACCTTTAGGGCTTGATTAAGCCTCTTATTTTCTGGAATGATTCTTTGTTTCTCCTTAAACTTCTCTAATTACGCTTTCTCTTTTCTCAATCTTTTTCTTTTTTGTTGTCTCTCTGTCCCTTTCTCATTTTCTTTTGCTTCTGTCTATTAATTATCTCTCTCTCTCTCTCTCTCTCTTTTTTTCCCTATTTCATCTCTTTTCCTTTTTTAGTTTCTTTCTCTCTTTTTTCTCTGTCATTTTCTATTCCATTTTTCTCTATCACATTATTTCTTGTATGTTCTATTTGCTCTTTCTTGCTGTTTTGTTCTTTGGGAGAAGAAAATCCCTTTTTCCTTTTGACATTCTACTTGCATTTTTGAAAGCCGATATAATATTGGCCATTCAAAAGCATTATGTTATGAAGCTTTGTCCTTGAAAAAGAAGACAATTTATTTTTCTGCTTTAAAGATAACTTTCACACTGCATCGTAACACAACCTACATTACTATGTGAACATATGTAACAAATAACATTGTCCTTTTTCTACGCACTTGCTATATTCTCTCAGTCATCAAATATGTTCGCCAAACATTGTGCATGTATAACGTTCAACATCATTTTCTCTCTATGTAATTTCACTTCAAACACTTCACACTTTCAGTAGACTCATAAGCCTGTCATAATGAATTTCATCATTATCATCGTAAGCTTTGTCAGCACTTGGAATAATGAAAAACTTTTAGTACTACATAGTGTAGCACAGGTTAACATTAACCATATATGACAATAGTAGCACACATGCACACACTCACACAGCTGTCAATAGGCCCTTTTGGTGCTTTTAGAGATACCATGTTTCCAGATAGTGACAAATAACCCTCCATTTTGATCATACAGTGAGTGAAAACTTCCAGAGTGGAATCCTTGATTATCATTACATCGAGGTTGGGGGTGTTGCAAATCGGGAGAGCATGCCGGACAACCCTTTAAACTTCGTCGGTCACATGGAGCAGTTCCTGTACAACAACCAACCATACTTTGACATGGCTAAGGCACGGGATCTGGACTACATCAGATTGAATGCAACGTTTGGTGAGAAGATGAGTCAGAGGCCAAAGGTCAATCCCTTCACCTTCAGAACAAAAGAAGTCTTCGTCCAACTGGAGACACCCGACTCCTATCCAGCCCTGACGCTCTTCTTTCACTTCAAGACCACGGAATCCAATGGTCTGCTGCTCTACAGCAGCGGTGGCCGTACTGACTTCATCTCTGTTGGTCTAGTGGAGGGTCAGATACAGTACGCCTTCAACATGGGGGCCGGACCAGTCAAGATCCACGCCAACACGCCCCACATGCTCAATGACAACAAATGGCACGAAGTCTCCGTCTCAAAGAACAGTGGAGGTCGACATGTCCTGCAAGTGGATAACTCGATGAGTATTGCTCAACCGTCACCCAAGGCAAGACATCTGGACCTGACTGAGAATCTCTATGTGGGCGGCGTATCTACAGATATGTACGAGGATCTACAGAGCGGGGTGGAGGCCAGAGTTGGCTTCCAGGGCTGCTTTGCATCTCTAGAAGTCAATGGCAGGAAACAGGATCTGGAGGACTCGGCCATCAGCATTGAGATGGACAAATCCAACCTCAAACGTGGCTGTGAAGGTATGTATATATTCCCTAATTAAGCTTATAATAGTTTCTTGCAGACATCAGAAACAACAACCCCTCTCCCCCCCCCCCCCCCCCCCCCTCCAAAAAAAAAGACACCGCCCAAACTATTGTAATGTGGTACAGGATCCCAAATATGGACATATAGCGACTGCTGAAGTTCTTGAAGTATTTGCTATTAAAGAGCCATAACATTTTCTTCCATAAGGTATTTCATTTAGGATATTGTGCATTGCGCTGTAACCATACATTTTTTCTATAATGCAACCAAATTTTTAAAAATCAGACACATAATTCCCTTTTGAGTTCAGCAAATAAAGATTCTTATTAGGAGCTGGTCATAGTCTGCTAAAAAATATAAGTTTATGCCCTTCCGGCTCTCAGCAGCATGATGACTTTTGATATTTCTTATTTTTGTAATATACCATGAATCACTCCAAGGATGTTGGTTAAGTGTAAAATTGATTGTAGTACCCATTTGTATGATCAGTAGAAAATTATATGATTCATCTTGCAATTGATGAGTATAGGTAAGATAGGTTTGGACTTGACAAGTTTCTGTCTTTATGACATGACTTATAAGAGCAATAAGAAGCTGAAACTGAAAGACAGATATATAACTGATAGCACAGTGAGTAAGGAGACAAAAAGAGCTGTGATTTTGGAGTGGGATATATGTCCTTCGAATGACAGTTGTGTAAACTTGTCGGGCAACAGGAGAGAAGTTCTTCATCAAGTGACAAATCAATTGAGAAATAAAGTAATATGCAGTGTGTTCCAGGGAGTATGTTCTGGACAAATTTACACATCTTCTGCTGAGAGCCGGAAGGGAGTTAACTCTATGTAAAATTATAGGAGTTAAGACTCTTGTGGATCTTGGTAGACATTTTAGCATTGACAATTCATTCTCCTGTCTAATGTTCAGTAAAATGACAAAAGAAATAAAGAGGCTTTGTGGGGTTTGTGGATCAGATCATGATTATTGCATGATGGAAGAGGTGATATTTCACATTGGTGCAATTGAAGTGATGATCCTTTTTGGCAGCTTCTTGGAAGTTATCCCTGGGGGGTAAAACTGTCCCCAAATGGTGAAAATATCCTTGAATGGAAGTAGCTATCCTGGTACAGGGGAAATTACTAGAGATTAAGGGGTTCAATAAATATATCTTTAATTTTTCATTGTAAAGTTGCAAGGTGATGCACTGAAAGGACCATAAATCATTAACATTGGGAAGTGAGAGAATAGTCTTGAATTGTGAAAAAAGATGAGCGCCATCTTGTGTAGTCATAACAGCGTCTTTAATTGCAACATTTACCTTATTTTGTACTCCTCGCTGATAATAAGGAAGACAAAGGAAAGATGATTTTATGATTTTAGTGGAGAGCAGTATGACCAAATCTTATGATGAATCAATAGTCTGTCTCACAGAGTATTGATGGTTCTCTGTCTCTCTGACTGTCCTTGTCATGAATAGTCCTGAATAAACATCTACTTATCATGGCATCTATGCATTCACATTGATTGGCGATGGACTCATATTGTGATATAACAATCTGTATTGATTCTTTAAATGAATTTTCATTGTTTAAATGAACGCTTGTCGTTTCTAAGAAATCTTTGTTTGGATTTTAGAGAAATGAGGCAGGTTGCAAAGATTGGAAATAATGGTTTTTGCTTGGTATGTTAACTTTGTTCTGCTGACTTAGTGGATATGTTTATTTTTTTTTTTACTATTACACTTGTATATTTCATACTCACTATTTAGTATATACCACAGAAAATATAAGCCAGTCAGTGAGTATAACATGAACATTATCAGAGACATAAATCCATAGACAGTTGTCTTAAATACTCTCAGAAATTCTTTTAAAAGTGACAAGATCAATTTCAATCAAATTAGTTTCTTAACTGAATAAACAAGAAATAGGTTGAGCACTGTTATAGAAGTTAACTGACATAAAATTATCTTACAATTATGAGTTGACTTACTATTTCATTTGTAGGATCTGAGTGTATTTTTTTTAATTATTATACACATGGCTTATATGGCAATATATGAGGTAGAATACATGTCTAGATGTTGTTACTAAATCTGTTTCTTCTTCTCTTTTTCTTGTTTTTAATAGATAATGGTGACCTATGCCTAGCTGATGTATGTGCTAATGGAGGGTTATGTATTCCAGGCTGGAATGGGTATAGTTGTGATTGCAGGATGACCAGCTTCTCAGGGGTCAATTGCTCGGGAGGTAAATGATGTTTAAAAAGAGTGCTGATTTTTTTTTTTTTTTTTTTTTTAACCAAATTTGAATACCAAATACTAGCATTTTCATTGTAACAATACGGGTATACCAATAAATACATGGATGGATAGATAGATAGATATATAGATAGATAGGGAGGTAGGTCGGTCGGTCGGTCGGTCGGTCGGTCGGTCGGTCGGTCGGTCGGTCGGTCGGTCGGTCGGTCGGTCGGTCGGTAGATAGATAGATAATTGAAATATAAATAGAGATGTATGAATATTAATGATATAATGCAATTTTGTAGTTGGATTCCTGCCTTCATTCTTTCATAGAGCTCAAGGAGAGCATCATATTATGTTTTGAATATATATTCTACCAATATACAGGTATACTGCTGAAAAGTAAACTTGATAAAATTATGACAATTTATCGGAAATTTATGTTAACAAATATTGAGATTAAGTATAGAGACCTATTTGTTAAGCCTAGGTACATATACTACATATAATTTTAGATGTTATCAAATGAATGATTTAGTTTACTTTTAAAGAATCATGGAATCTTCTATTCCCCTTTCGGTATCAAATAATGTCCTATCGATGGTAGAAGATTGTAGTATTGCAATTTTTTGTCAGAATACAGATTTCAATTCAATGGTTTAGTGAAAATTAACCCAACTACTCTGTTGTTTCTCCTCCTCTTCCTTTCCCTCCTCTCCCAGTGAGTACATCATTTGGTTATGGAACCGGTGGTGGTGTCATCTCCTTGGAGATCCCTGAGTCTCAATGGTTACGGACTGATCATGATGATCTGAGTATGGGTATGGCTACCAGGTCAGCGAATGCCATCATAGCTCGTATTGACAGTGCTACGTCTGATGACTACATCGAAATGGAACTGGTAAAGCATAGAGTCTGATGAGATTTTTCATTCCTTAGGATAAATCACAAGAAAGCAAGGCATATGAATCGTTTTATTGAATAAAATTCACAACAGTATTGGCAGTATACTAACGATTATCTGAATAGTAATGGTTTAACATAATTAATTTGCAATATAATTTCTCTGAAGGTTTTGGATTTTTTTTTTATAATTCAAGAATGTGTCAAATGAAAGCTAAATCTTAACAAAAGAATAAGTTTGAAGATACTCTTTTATTTATGTCTAAATTAGACTCAAATCCAAGATTGATTAACCTGAAAATTGCACACACAAACAAATCATAACTGAGGTAGTTCATCATTTCAAATATCTAAGGAACATTTCGATAAGAGGGATTCCATGCAATGTGTCCTATATGACATATGTATCAATCGTTTAGTCAAGGGTCACATCAAGAAAATTAAATTTTTGGATGAAATATAGTGTACAGTATAATCTGACCTCATTTACATGTAGTATTTGTTCTGATTAAAAATACTACATGTAGATTGATTTCAGGAGGGTTTTTTAACCTTGTTACGATGCTGTGAACTCTTCTCAGGTCAATGGTTATCTGTGGACCATGTACAACTTTGGATCAGCCGATCACATGATCAGTGACGACACCAATCGCATCAACGATGGCTCCTATCATGTGATCCATTTCTCAAGGACTGGGGCCAATGCGTCTCTACAGATAGACCAGTATGCTCGTATTCATAAGACACCGAAAGGTAGGAATGCATCAATGTCATCCAAGCAAATCTCAATGCATAAGGCAATTTGATGTGTGTGGAGTAGTATGCAACTCACAATGCATACCTCAAATGCACATATTCAGTAGTTGAAAACATGAAATGTAGTCCTGATTTCCTCAGGGAGGGCGTTTTATGGTTCAATCTTTTCATTACATAGCCAGATCGTATTGAGAGTGATGAGGCAAAGGAGGTAGACAACAAAGCACTATGTGGATGAAATACTGCTCAACACTCTTTGTGGAATAAAACAAATGGCAGTGGATGTATACATCAAATAATATAAAATAAAAGTATTTGCACCTGGAGCAAATGAGCTTTGAATACCTCAGAGTCTTGAATATTAACTCTAGCCACTGTATTGTCTTCATTGAGTTATTAAATAATTGAATTTCTTAGAGGATTTTATCGTTTATCACTTACACAAAAATTAAGGAATACTTCTTTAACTGAAACCATTAATAAATAATGAATCTTTTATTTGACAGGCAAACAGTCTACATTCTTTGACGATCAGGCGATAATCAACCTCGGCGGACGCGGAGAAATGAGCGACAGCAAACGGAAAAGAAGAAGAAGAGCACCCGCCTCGTCTCAGTTTGAAGGCATGATGTCCGGTCTCTCATACAACGACATGAGAGTCCTAGATATGGCAGCGTCAGATGACCCACGTGTCGTACTCAGCGGGAACGTAGGTGAGCTTGAGAATCCAGAGAATTACATCTATGGGACACCGATACCAACAACGTCAGATGAGAGTACCATCTACCGCATCACTACCACCAGGAAGACCCCAGTATTACCCCCCATTCTCAATGTATCTAGTACAGCTAATTCAGATCTCACATCTCCTACAAAGGTAAGACTTCAATCAAATCATCTGAAATTAATTTTCTGTTCAATTTTACATCTTGTTTAATGTGTAAAGAAAAGATTAGTGTATTATGGTTTGTGAACATCATATTGTCGTTTAGAATATCAGGAGTTTGGTGTATTGATACATGATTTCTACAGTGTTTCACTGACATATTTGCAGAGCATAACAGATAATAGATTTTGCGGTGTGCCAAAAAAAGGGTGCCTTAAAACAATTTTGTTGATTAGTTGTAATGCATGAAGATCATTCACAAAGATATCCAAATACTCTTTAGTTTAGATTGAAAGAGGTCTCCAAAACAGCCATCCAACTTCTGATTATCTTCTAGCTTTTTGTTTGGGTAATGCACTCACATGTTCTTGAGTTCAGAATTCATTTAGGTAAATGAAAGGCTTATATAATACAAAGATAGCTTGTCTAAGCTCTCAAAAATATATGTTATATTTATTCTAATCCCAACAAACTAATTAGAAGCATTAATGTATGCACATTTGTATGCTTTGAATCCTCTATAGATTACAATGTCAATAGCCCCGACTTCTGATGGTGAATATACACCTGATGATCAAGACATTATTTTTGTGACTGGATCAGGATGTATGTCAGATGTACCTGAGGACTGCACTCCACAAGCAGCAGGTGAGCTAGGGATTAGAAGTGATCCATATCATATTTGTCTTTCAGTTTAGGAAGCATTAATGTATTTGCAGTCAATCATTTCATGAAAAGTATGGCTGGTAAAGGATTACAGAGACAGTGTTTTTAGGGACTTTATTTATGAAATGGTTATTGTGTTTGAATCATTTCTGTATTATATTCATGTAGATGGAAGGAAAGGCTATACCAATTGCATTGATTAGTTAATGTCTCTGCTTATATGTCTTTTGGGATCCATATGAGCATTAAATTTACATAAAATGATATGAGCTAACATAATTACCAAATATGTTTATGATTGTGCCGCAACAAGGAGTTAAATGATAGTGAGCCCTTTATTATTTTTAAAGAGTTCAATACTCTTGAAACAAAATTTGTAAATCCCCTTTACATTATGGTCATAGGAAAGAAAAGAAAATCTGACTTTTTTTGATAATTAAGTAAAAAAAGTGGAGGTATCAAAAGAGTTCCATGATGGTTTGGGATTGTCTTGTCAAACAAGTGTTCAATGTGGTGTAATATTAAAACAATATTCATATGACTAGGAAAGAAAGCAGGTATTGTCATGACAGAAATTAATCTAAAGTTTTCTGACATTGTTTTGGGGGGAAGTTTAGCTTACTTTTGATAGTCTTTTTTTTTTTTTTAATTCATGCCTTATTACATTCACATTTTAGATTCATGCCCAAGTCTGGAACATTCATCTTTTAGAATCATTCATATTTTTTTGTTGCATCATCTATTTCTTTATTTGCAGTAACTCCCAGAGGTAAACAATATCATTTTTTATTATTTTAAGCTAATATATTAATTGTTGCTTTCCATCCTTTTTTCTAATACAAGTGGATTGTTGGTTGTCTCCTTTTTCCTTCATTAAAAGTCCCCTTGACACTTAATCACTTTCATAGCATGACCTTTTTCTTTTCATTTAGATTTATTTATTTGCAAAGAGCTGTATATTTCTTTCATTCTGTGTTCCACCCAAGGTGAATTAAAATTCAGAATAAATAGGAAGACACATAGCTAGAACTGATTTCCTTTTCCTCACTGATTGTGGATGTGGTGAAGTTATCTACTTAATGGATAAATGTGTGACACCATTTGCTGCTACCATGTGTACTATCGTATTTCCCTCTTCATGTACCAAGAAGTTAACCATCCTCAAATGATCAAACATGACTTTTCTTATTTTAGTTAAGGATGTGTTACATTGGGAGAGGGTATTGTGAAAATAAAAACACTTGATTATTTTCTCCTTATAGTTTAAGTATATATTTAACTACATCCCTATGTGCATGCTTCTTATTTGAAAAGTTTTACAACTCTTTTCTCCCTTTTGCTTGAGTACTTATTATTTTAGGGAAATTTCTACAATTTCTTTCATATTTGAATTGGCTGGTATATTGTTGGAACCACTATTTACATGTAGATTGTAGTACTTCTTTCATTCTTGATAACATTCCAGTCTAATATGTGTCTTTTCTTCAATTCTGTAATTGATAACTTATCTTTTGTACCAACTATGATAGTGCTTTGTTTGATCTATTCAAAGATCAATTACTAGTATATTCCCCTGAAATACAACTCCTTGAATCCTCCGTTTTATCACTTAGACTTCCATATGATTTATATATATGCAAGCCATCATATATAACGCTTCAAAATCCCATTTTCTCCTCCCCTGCCCAGCAAACCCATCCCCCAAAAAAAATATTTTAAAAATAAAAAATAAAATCCTCCACTATATTTATTTATTTAATCAAGCAAAATGTCAAGGTTTGTTTTATTGATATATTCACAGTAAGGATGACCCTATTGTCCATATTCTATGAATTCACTTAAACCTGACCCTAGGTTTAACACGTTTAACAAAAGGAAAACTTGAACTCAAGACTAACTTCTTTGTTGAACCCAATTTGGGGGGGGGGGGATCTGAACCCTGTATTGGGTTTAATTTTAGTAGAATCCAGGGCCTATAAGTTGTGATAGCATAGTTCTGTATTGAAGTTCCATCTCATATATAAATTGATCCCAATTATATGAACACTTTTCCTCATAAATTGGACGGAAATGTGCATTTCTTTGGCACTATCTTCCAGTACCAGGAAGGCCATTTCAAGTATACTTTGTCCACATGTTAGTCATGGATGTTTCTATTTCTTTCATTAGGTGAGGATATCTTTGTACCAGGAGAGACAATGAGTACACCCCCTCCTGACAAGCCTGGTGCTCCCGTCACCACCGAGTCTGCTTCACCCATGTCCCCTCAGCCCCTTCCCCCTTCCAGCACGGAGCCAGGATCAGGATGTGACGATGATGACGAGGATTGTATGACTGCATCAGGAGAGAACTCAGGCACCAAGCCAAGCCCTACCAAAGACTTCACTTTCACCCCCGTGGATGCTACTGGGGTAACGGTAGCAGGATCCACACCCCAATCAGGTGCCAGCCAGGGTAACAATGGTTTTGATTTCTTGGGTGAAGCTGGGCTGGTAGTGGGTGCCGTCTCCGCAGCTGCCGTTATATTCATCCTCGTCATCCTCGCCATCTACAAATTCAAGAATCGCAATGAAGGCTCGTACCAGATCAACGAGAGTCGGAATTATGACTATGAAGCGACGCGCACCTCCCTCTTACCCGCGACAGCCACAAACGGTACCCTACCATCAAAACCAAAACCTTCATTACCACCAGAGTATGCGACAAAAGAATGGTATGTCTAGCAGTAGATGTAGGCATAGATAGATATAGCACATATGTAGCTTTGTCTTCTTTTTGTATATTTGAAGATTTAAAACAAAAAAATCACATATATGATATAGTATTTCAATCCAAACTATTCTAACAGTGTGTGTATATATATATAAAAAGCAATGTCCTATGCTAATTTGATATGCAATTATGAAACTATGAGGCATTTTGATGGATGCTTCATGTGTAGTACTTAAGGTTGATTTTATGGATCTTGCCAGTATGTCAAAATGAATACATGTAATATACAAGTCACACCCAATTTATAGACCTCAAATAATTTTAATTATTGTAATTTTTTGTTGGTAATTCATTTTTTATTTTCTTGATTTCAAATTATAGCTTTAACCATTTGATAAAACACATAGAAAGGCTATGTCTAGTCTAATAACCTGATGTAAAACTGATATTTACAGGCTTATCTTTAAAAGTATACTTGAACCTTTCTCAGTAGAATTTGGAACAACAAGTAATTCAGTTTGCAATTTAATGTTCAGTGTTTGCATATGTACTTATGATTCATCAAATGGTTGTTGAATGAGAAGCATTAAGTCACACCATCTTCTATCTTCCAATAAATTGTTTGCCATGTCTGCGTTATCATTTTACTTGTATAGTTATGATACAGATACTGATAAGCTTCTGTACTTTATGGACATTTATGCTTTATAAACCGACATGTATCATTATAATTTTAGGAACAGGTAATGTTCGTTTGATGGACTTTATTCTTTCACCATGTCTGGGAGCAACAGGTAGTGAACTTTAATTGATTCATATCTTTTATCAAATCTTGAACTGTAAAAACAGAAGGTCATAGTTCATTGATACTACCGGTATATCAATATGTAGTATCAATATACTAGATAAAGTACTTGTATAGTATCACTATACCAAGTATTTTATTTTCAACTACCAGACATTTACGTAGTCATGTGACTTTGTTAAGACTGGAATAGAGAAAGGACTGGTGCGTTGAATACTAGGAATGGCTTCATTGAATGGCATTTGAATTTATGAATGTTAAAGCTTTCATAAGTAATGTTCAGGCTTGTATGCACTGAGTACATGTATATCAATTAGACATCCCTTGGCTTACCTTTTTCTATCTTGAATGAAATTAATAAGTTATCAATGACAGTCACTGTCGATACACTGTCATGACATTTCTCATTAAAATTCCTAATAAGAAGCTGCTTAAAGTTTCTTATATCTTTACTGTTTGTTTGAGCATTAGGATGTTGTTGACTTACATGTAATTGGGTGCTACCAGTAAAGTGAGTTTCATATATCCATATATTTGCTTCACTTTTCATGTTGTGTTTTTACTCTATAGGAAGCACTAGTCTTGTAACCACCTCTTCCTTTACATACAACTCATAAGAATATATTGATCAAACTTATTTGATCACTAGATGTAATGTATAGAGTTATCCACTAAGAAAATGCTGTATGATTTTAAATGAATTCACATTATTATACTAGATGATAAGTATGGAATGTGAAACAGAATTGTTTTTCTCCAGCTGTATTAAAAATTATTTGCAATCAAATCTACTAACAAACTTATGGACAAGATGCAATCATGATGTATGAACTGAAATGGACTTTTGATTTTCTTTTTTTCGTTAAAACTAATCTAATAAGCTTAGGAAATCAAGTTTGTATGAGAGCTATAGTTCTGATTGTACAAATTAAAGAAACTGAAATTTGAAGAAACAAAGCGCAGTACTGAATCGTATTGAAAATTTGTTGAAACAAGTAATATAAAGATTTGTATGTATGACATTAGTGACACACGTGCAAATTAAATAAGTTTATTCTGATTTGAATCTGTAGGAATCCAAAAACAAAGAAGCAACATTTCAATACGAGGATTTTTCAAATTCTTGTCCTTGCAACTGAGAAGGTAAAATGATTAATCAGCAGCTTTTGCAGTCGGTGTTTTAGGTTTTATGTGGTAACTTTGAATTCCTTCTCAGGATTTGCAATCTCCAGAGGAATTTGTTTATGATTATAGATTTGATGTTAAATGTGTGCTAAATTTAAACAAGCTTTATGAAGTCTTTGATTGGACTTGAATGATTACATTACACGTTCTTGTTTATATAAAAATATAAATCAGTGTCCTTTATTTCTGTAATGTTTTTTTTATAATTCAGTGATGTATAAACTTACACATGAAATGAATAAAGAGAAACAATGTACTAAAATCTCAGAGAAGATGAAATTGCCAGGTGCAATTATTGGATGAAAAGTCAAGACAAGATCTTTAGGAAATACATGTATTGTCATTTTATTATTAATATTATTACTATTATTATGCTGTCATGTAAATATGGATGCCCTGTAAATCTTACATTCCTTTTCACACAAAATATGTTCTGTAGAGATAACAGATACAGGTTTACAAATGAGATATTGTATAGTTTGAAAACGAATGAGTGATGTACATAGAGATATGTATTTAGTATGTAACATAAATAACCTATTAGTCTGCTAAAAAAAGACACACAGACTATAATGTTCAGAGAAATATGTAGTAGAATTAGTTATATTTTTAGAAAATACTGATCAGTAGTTTTTGTGATTGCCATCTTTGCTGATTTGCATGTTCATTTTATTTCTTATATTTCTATCCAAGCATCTGCATTACTTTCAGAACTTATATTAATTAGAACTATACTCTTAATTAAGGTTTATTAATTCAAAATTAGTCCTATAGTAAAACAAATGAATGAGAGAATAAGTTCTGTAAATTTTCCTTTTCTTGAGTTAGCTTTGAAGGAGAGCTACTGCAGAATACTAGAGATTAGAACTCTGTTCCGTTTCATTGCTCAAAAGAAAGAAAATTATATTTTCTGTTCAGAGCCAGAAGGGTGTTAATGCTGTTAAAGTTTATGAGTTAATGCCCTTTTGTCTAGAAAGCAAGGGAGATGACCTACGGGCTTAACATTAACATCCTTTTATTCAAATATTATGTTCTGAGAGCCAAAAAGATGTGAGGTGTTTTAGAGGATATGAGTTAATGTCATTTTTGCTCTCAGCAGGCATGTTGTGTATGTAATGTATAATGAAGAAGTTTAAAAGACGATGGTTTATTAAAGGTAATGCACCATCCCATTTAAAGTTGGCCATAATCGTAATTAGGCTTATTTATAGTCCTAGATATGTACCAAGACCAACAAGTCTGAGAATATAACCATGTATTTGTACAAAGGTTTCATTCATGCATTGCATTATGGGAGAACATACGCCATAATTATATACTAATTGCTACAAGCACAAGCTTATACATCTAATTTCTTGCAAAATTACTTCATACCTCTGCATATTAATCACACACAGTAATGCGTTGTCTGTTGAGAGCCAGAAGGGTGGTTAAGCTGTGTTTAATACAAGATAATGCCCTTCTGTCTCCAAGCAGAGAGGTTATGATAAGCCTGTACCTAGTTTTCTTACATTGCTGAGATTGGTTCTAATAAGAGTCTATATGCTGCAGGGAAGCAATTTTGAAAAACAAACTTAGAAAAGTATTTTGTTCTGGGTTCCCCCAGCATGCAGTAAACAATGTTTGTATTGAATACATGTATATTTCTTAAAAGTTGGAAAATGGAAGCAAGTAACAAATAATTTCCCCAACATATGGGTGCTGTGTTGTTAGTTTCTCATAATGTAAGAGTAATTTTATGTTAAGATTTAGCCAGGAATTATGCATGGCATACAACCGACTACAAATCTTATTTTCTTCATTACGTTATTCGACAAGATTTCCCAACCCTTTCATAATACATAAACCCGTAGCTTTATATCATGAATATTACTGGTTGTCTGTCCAATGTCAATCAGTTTGATCAATTACGCATGCAGCAAAATGGCAATGACGAGTATTTATATGTCAAACTATGTAAAAAAATTGCTTCCAAATAAGTTAGTATAAAACTTTTAGAATGTAATTTATTTGAAAAGATTACTATATTATGTAGCTTTGTTTTGTATTTTTGTTTATTTGTTTTGTTTTAAGTAGGTTGTTATTTTGATATATTTTATTCAGCCTCCCTGGCATATTTTCATTATGCAAGTGTAGCAATAAATGTGAATTTGAATGACTATAGTGATTGTCACAGTATTTTATACTTGCATTTCTGTAGTGTATATGATGACGATGTTGATAATGATCCTGATAATTTGGACAACAGTGATTAGGATAATGAGGATGATGAAGTTGAAGTTGAAGATGATGATGATGATGATGATGATGATAATGATGATGATGATGATGTTGATAGTGATGTTATTGGTAGTGAAGATGATGATTGATGAAGATGGTGACAGACTAAAAGATGAATTGTTGATGATAATGAACGCGAGTACAAGATTTTGATGCAGTTGGCCAGTGGGCGTAATGAGTTTTTGAAGGGGAAATATTGGATATATATATAATTACCACATAATAATAACAGACCACTTTTTGTAATGTAATCAAATTTAATGCATAAATCTTTGTTAAGTGCCATGATACATGATACAAAATATTTCATTCACCTGATACACATGATTGTATTTCAATAGTCAGAATGCAAATTGCATACATTATTTGTTGCTAGGTAGGACAAACATTATGGTTTGTCCTACTTAACATCACGGAAAGTTAAAGTAAAATCTAATCATAAAAAAGTAAAGTTGAAGTGTCATAGTTGAGTGGTTAAGCACTTGATTGGACATGCAAAGGTCGTGGGTTCGATTTCCCCGCAAGGTACTTACGTCCTTGAGCAATTATATCTGCATTGCTTCTTTTCAACCAGGGAGCCTGGAGAATGTGTAAAAAAATTTGGTGGGGAAGCCTGAATCTGACGACCAGGGTATATCTGTAAAGCACTTCTACTAGAGACATCATATACCCAGGATATAATCAACATAACTAAGTTCTGCATTTTTTAAGTTGCAATTATTCAATACGTCTCCATGACGTATCTTGCACTATGCGAAAAAATCCATCATAAAGGCACCCTAGATATAATCATTGCAAATATATTTTCTCACATTCCCAGTACAAAACAAATCTATTCCTTCATTAATAATTAAGAAAAAATAGAAAAATTTATTTGACAGAGTAAGCAGGAGACCGATAAGAATGGTACAGGATTGCGTTTCATTGATTACACCTTCAGAAATTCAAAACTGCCTTAATTCTGATTTGAATTTGCTAAAAATTCACTAATTTTTTTTTTTTTTTTTGGGGGGGGGGGGGGTTGCATTCATTAAAACCAATTTAACATCAGGATACACTTTCCATTTAATATATTGCAATTGATTAGTTTTTAAAAAGCTTCTTTGATTACCTCTTTAGGAACACCTGTATGTTGGAAACTGATAAGTTCTTATTTCAATATGGGAATTTTTTTAAACTTCCCATTCTTTTTATGCCGTATGCCATATACATGTACTTCAAATTCTCCATACGGTCATCAACGAATTAGGGCTCTCGTTCTGCTTTATATTTGTTCAATACTTAATTTCTACACAACTGTTGCGAGGCTGCAGTACATGTAGACCAATTATAAAACTACAATAGCCAAGTTTGTATAGCGATGATTCAAGGTTCTCTGATTTTTTTTAAAGTTATGAATTTGGTGCCGAGGTCACAAGGAATATGGGAAGGGGGGCAAGAGCCATAGTACACTTTTCAATGAGCCTAATTACGAGAAACCTACATAACAATTGACAACTAAGTAAATAGCTTGCATATATTGTTGGAAGATGAAATCACATAATTCACCTTGTCGGGAAAGGAAATCAATGCCACTTTTAAAAACAAAATCAATGAAATAAACTTTTCCGTATTCACCAAAACCTCTCCGTAATATATGATATCGAGACAATACTAGAAAGTTAGAAACATAAATGATTGAGGCAAAATAAGGCATATTATCTTCCAAGTCCACAAATTGCTTCTCTCGCCACAATCTTCATCATTCTCATTACTTTGTCTTTGCAGCATGCAGCATTATTAGTAGGGCACTTAATAATCCCACGTCTCTGTGACATTTCACTAGCTGGTAAGATGATAGCTTGCATTCTAAGAAGACACATTCAGTTGCTGAAGGTAGAACTTAGTATCCTAGCTTACTGTATTAAATTGGAGTAAAGGCCTTCTTCTTGCAATTTTATTGCAATGTTTAAAGTTCTCCAGTGATCCGATCATTAATATATATTGTTGCATTTTAATTCAATCTCATTCAGAGGCGTATCCAGACACGAGTCATATACAGGGGTCCTAAAGATATTCTAGAGAGGGTTGGGGTTGGGTTGGGGTTAGGTTGGGGTGGGGGGCTGGAATGCAATTGGGTAGCTCTGCTTGACGTAGACAATCTGCAAGTACCGGTGGTACAGCTGGTGGGGGCTTCAATTCAAACAGAGGGGCGTTCCTAGCTTCATCAACCACTATGTTGGATACGCCAATGTTCTCCAATCAAATCAGTTAATTGCTCTTCGACTTTGTACTGATGACCCCACCTCCAAGCCCCCTTTGATTCAGCAAGATATAAACCAAAGCAGCTCCAAACACGACAGCTGGTACAGTGTGGGATAGGGGCTCTCCGACCATCACGAGAGTGTAGGCTGCTCCGATCATGATGCCGAGGAGAGGCACGGCGGCAAACACTCGACAAACAGGTCGTCCAAATGCGAGCAAGGCACCTAACAGCACCTCAGTAGCGCCCACCAGGGATAGGTACATCGCAGCGGTCTTTATACCCACTACGTCCCGTAGCGGAAGAACGGTTAGGAATCTCTCAAAGTCGGTGTACATTTGAGGTAGCCCATGTCCCTTCTGGTCGTTGTCGAGGGGTATGAGTTTTACGAAGCCTGCTACGATGAAAAGTAGTCCGAAGACAAGGGCGAGGTAGTGACTGACCGCCATTTCTCTACTATTTCACAAAGCTACAGGGAAGCGACTGTGCTCGAATGGGTTGAATTAGCCTCAGCCTCGGTTGTGTAGAACACAATACAATACCGCTCGCGCTCGAAAAACGACACATGGCCATGCTATAATCGCACAATATGGTTTACCAGTGGCGTAGCTATGCGCCGGGCACAGGGGCACGTGCCCCCTTCCCCGTTGAATCCTTGAATCATGCCTTTTGTATTTAATAAGGTCGAGTGAAGAGTGTTATGCATGGGAAAAGGAAAAGAACGTGAGATAATGTAGAGAGATAGAATTGCTTGCATGGTAACGCTCTTCATGCAGTATGATAATCCCTTATATAATTATAGGTCTACTAATTAATTAACGTGATAACTCTTAAAATGATATCTGTAGTATGAAATACATTATACCGTTTCACTTTGAAATTATTTTTTTTCCACTCTATTTATTTATTTATTTATTTATTTCCTCTCATAGGGTGGATGGCCCTTTCAGCACAGCTTATTTTCAAAGGGGTCCACATACATAAAAATAACAATAAATATACAGTGAATTATACAATAATAAGAAAAACTTGCAAATGCAAGAAGTAAGGCAATGAATATGTACATGTAAAGTTACAACAAATAAATATCTAACAAATTAATGTACAAAACAAACAAGCAATAAGACAGTTAAATGCAGATATTCAACTAGAACGACAACAAGCATACGAGTAAAACTGTAAAACCGATAACATAACACACAAAACATCAAGGTAAACATAAAAGAAGGGCAGGGGTTATATATTCTGCCCTCTCAAAATGTGACCATCATTGATCGTTTTTCAACCATTTGGTGTTGCGCAAGAGAATGTTATAGTTGTACATGATATATTGGAATATATGTCATCAACTTCATTTAAAACAAAGTATCAGAAACCGCGAGAGACCAACAAACGTATATCATTTTGGGTATTTTAATGAGGAAATATATGATTTCAGAGAAAAATGTACTTTTTTCTTGCTCACCTTAACGGGTTAGTTCAGTATATAGGTCCATGGTTTCAGGCAACGAGGTTAAATAAATGTCCCCTTATTATGAGGATATTCGGGTACCTTGCTGCCATGGCGCTCAAATATATAACCTTATTCACTGTATCTTTTTTTAATATGGAGATGACATTTATTCCACAACAAAGTATTCCCCCCCCCCCTTGGTTGCTTATCCTGGCAATGAAATGACCAAACATATAATTTTAGATTTTAAATCTCGTGTTTTTTTATGACTAGATAGAAATTTTGTTTCAATGCTTGTTGTATAGGCTAAAAACAGGGGCGGATCTAGCTTTTTGCCAGGGGGGGGGGTGGTTCGACCAAAAAAAAATTCCAAAAATCGCGCCGTTTTACTGTTTTACTTTTTTCCCTCTCACTTGTCCACCCGGGGGGGGGGGTTAAACCGCCGAACCCCCCCCCCCCCTAGATCCGCCCCTGAAACATATATCTGATGCAGTATGTTCTTGGGAACTGTTGCTTGAACTAATAAAGCAGAGATTAAAAAAAACACATTACAAATTAATTTGATTAGTATTTCAGAACCTTGGATGTATACTTTAAACGCTCGAAGGTTGAATTGTACTGGAGGTACGTTTACACTTCGATGGAGTTCAACATCATGATAATAGCGAAATGCCTATATGTTTGGAACGTAGTGTGAAATGTGGCACGTGTGAGGGTAACCGCGAACGTTCCTCTTTCATCATTGAAAAATTGAAATATAGGCCTACAATACATTCAGGCGCGTACGCAGGATTTTTTTCAAGGGGGAGGGGGGGGGGGGGTTAACAATTTCAAATCGAGCCGAATATTTTGTAACGCCTCAGCCAGCCGCTGAAAAAGCGGGGGGGGGGTGGGGGGAGGGGGGGTGGGGGGGAGGGGGGGGGGGGGGGGTAAGAGGACATATTTCTTCTTTTTTTTTTTTTGGTCCCAAAAATTTCGCCACGACTCAGTCAGCCACTGAATAAGCGGGGGGGGGGGGGGGGGTCATTTTTTTTTTCGGTCCCGAAATTTGAAAATTTGACCGATCAACATTTCATTCTGTTGGGGGGGGGGGGGAGGGGTAAGGTCACCTTTTTTCAGCTCACCGATTAGCATTTTTTTTTTTTTTAATAAAAAAATAAAAAATAAAAAAACGAAGGGGGGTGGGTTTCCTCCAAAACACACACACATATCAACAAAAAAATGAAGGGGGTTTAACCCCCCCCCCCCCCCCCTGCGTACGCGCCTTCCTACATTGTACGGAATACTGGACATATTCCATATTGAGGTGTGGCCTCGAGCCCTCGACTGAGGCTCGAGAATCTCGAGACCACATCACAATCAATGTCATAGGTTCACATTTTCTTTAAAAAACGATGGTTGATAATAAATAAACAAGAAGAAAAATGTGTTTGTTATCAGGCTCATGACGTTATTATAACAGGTCGCATATTAACTTCATATTGAACGTTTCATTCGTTCGTTTGTTTTGGGGTTTTTGGTGTGGTTTGTTTTTACCTGACTGCATTGTATGCTTGTTAGTAAGCAGCCGATGGACCGACAGCTTTCAGTCATTTCCGAGGGACTTGGTTAATGCGCTGAAGTACTTCGCTGAAGTATATACAACAGCAATGGAACTATAGCACCTATAGGAATTTTGCCTACTTTTGAGTACTTTGGGAGGTCGTTGAACTACCTGTGTTGGTTTTACTTATAATACTACGTGAACTCTTTTCGTGAAATTTATATGGAAGTTATTGCCCAGAAACGCGTCAAGATGCCGAGAGGCGCGAAACTTCAAACTGAGGATATCGCAAGAGATATACGCGGAGAAGTCAAGAAAGTACTGGAGGACAACAACGATATTCTAGACTCTCTTGTATCAAAGGTAAAGCTGACACTTATTGAAGAACTAACATCTGTCATTACTGAAAAGGTTGCTGAAAGCATTCGTGAAAGTTTTGAATTTGAGCTTTCCGAGAGAGATATCAAAATAAGTGATTTGGAGAGAAAATTTTCCAGACTGAAGGAGGAGCACGAAGAGGCTGAGCAATATTCAAGAAGAAATTGCCTAATTGTTCATGGTCTGGATGAGAGAGAGAGTGAGGAGACAGATGAATTGATTAACAAAGTGTGTGAGGAGAAATTGGACATAAAGCTAACAAGAGGAGACATCGATAGATCGTACAGATTAGGATCGAAAAAAGGAGGATCAACCAGAGGGATCATTGTTCGATTTACCAACTACACGGCTCGTAACAAGGTCTACCAGGCAAGAAGGAAACTCAGAGGTTTGGAAGGGACGCCCATTTTCATACAAGAGAATTTGACGAAAGAGCGAGGAAGACTCTTTCGGGAGATAAAGTCAAAACATAAGGAAAAATTGAAAGCGATTTGGACTCAAGATGGCCGAATCATAGTTTTGACCACTGATGAACGCCGTGTGATTCTTACACAGATGACCGATATCAGCAAGCTTACGTCGTCTTCATAAGCATGATCAGTCGATGGTTAGTTATTATCGCGTGTATTGTACCTGGAATTTTATTTGCATAGAAACTGGAAGTAGCAACTAATCCTTCTCGTTAAGCGTCTTTTTGAACATGTTCAGTCGATGGTTAGTTAAGGAGACATTATTATCGCGTGCATTGAACCTGGATTTTTATTTGCATAGAAACTGGAAGTAGCAACTAATCCATCTCGTTAAGCGTCTTGCTGTACATGGAACGCTGAACGCTTCGCTGAAACTTCTTTATGTTGGAAGCACTGGACTGGCCATGCATCGGATTGCGTTGGGTTTTGTTTTCTCTACACTTTGTTTAAAGTTAATCCATCGTGCTTAGACTCTTTCTTTAGTATGACTTTCCGTTAATATATATTGTTAAATCATTGTTGGTACCAGCTTATTCCAATACAATTACATTTTGTTGGCAATCCATTTTATCCCTCAGGACTATATGTTAAATGTCTCTCACTGCCTCCCGGTTATATTGGGAGCATGTGATTGTATTCGATGAAGACTTGCAGAGCAATTCCTGGCCTATAATTATCTTTTCTACGCCCAGCTTTAAACCTTAATTCTCTTCGGGTGCTTAATCAATTGCCTGTTATGATTAATGTTGGTTAAACTTCATGCGTCTTGTTGTGGTGTGCACAATACAGAATCGTTGATATATTTGATATATTTTATCTTTTATAAGGAGTATTTATATTATATTTTTGTTATATTTGTGTTTCTTTGTTTTAATGTATGGCAAACATCTATCCTCATGTTTCAAGTAAAAGTGTGAAATATAATGAACTATGCGGTAAAGGTTTGAAATTTTTACAACTGAATGTTGTTAGTCTTTTAAAATATTATGATGAAATTAAGGCTATTTTGTGTGAAAATGTGATACATGTTTTTGCTTTGAATGAAACTAGACTGGATGACAATATATTCGAGTGTGAAATCCAGATACCTCACTACAATGTTATCCGTAAGGACCGTAATAGAAACGGTGGAGGTGTACTGACTTATATTCATGAAAGCTTGGGATATGAAGTTTTGAAACATAGATCATTATCGCGAATGGAAGCAATTGCATTATTGATACGGCAGAAAAACGCCAGTCCCATTGTATTTTTTAATTGGTACAGACCTCCGAATTCTAAAGCGGAGATACTCACTGATTATGAAGACTTTTTAGTGTATGCCAATGGTCTTAATTTTCCTATTATTGTTATGGGTGATATAAACTGTAATACTTTGAAAATCCCATTAGAAGGTGCAACCAAGAAATATATTCAAATCAATGATATATATTGTATGAACCAGATCAATACGGCCGAATATACAAGAATAACTAACAATAGTGCCTCTTTGGTTGATCACATGTTAACTAATTATGATGAAAAAGTTAAGTCATTTGGTGTAATTCATAATGGTTTGAGCGACCATTCCATGAGTTATTTGATATGGAAATCTCCTCAGATACAAAGTTCTGTAAAATATGTTACTTTTAGAAAATCAAAAGGGATTGATAATGAACTATTTAAGTCTGACTTACAAATAATAATTGGAAGGTTATAGAACGTATTGATGAGTTGAATGAAGCTGTGTGTAAATGGGAAGAGCTGCTGTTGAAAGTTGTGGATAAACACATGCCGTTAAAGACAAAGCGAGTAAGGAAGAAACATTCGCCATGGATAGATGAAACTATATTTAGTCTTATGGATGAAAGGGACAAAACGAAAGACAAAGCAAAGTCAAAACAAGATGGTGAATTGTGGAAAAATTACAAGAAATTAAAGAATAAAGTTACAGCTGAAATTAGAAAAGCTAAACGTAAATATTACTGTGAAAATTTAACTGGAAATCAAAATCGTAGTAAATCTTGGACGTTGTTGTCATCCATAGTCCCTAACAGTCGCTCTTCATCGTCTATTCCTATTATTGAAGGAGATGTCTTGAAAACAGCAAACAAATTTAATAGCCATTTTGCAAATGTCGCTGTTGACACTTTGAATGACGATTCGTCAGAGCAAGATGTAAATTCTAGACTGGACAATCCAGTATCGCCCAATCTAAAACAAGATTTTAAACTTTCTTTTGTTACCGAAGATGAGGTATTAAACGAATTAAGGAAATTCCCAAATAAAAAATCGGTTGGAGTAGATGGTATTTCTCAATTTATTCTTAAGTTAGCTGCTGTTGAAATTATTAAACCAATAACATATTTGATAAATAAATCAATCAGAGATGGGGTTGTGCCTGACGTATGGAAAATAGCAAAAATTATACCGTTGCATAAGAAGGGTGACAAGTATAACCCAGATAATTATAGGCCCATTTCGTTATTGCCATGCATCTCAAAGCTTCTTGAAAGAATGATACAGAAACAACTCATTCAACACTTAAATGTAAACGATATTATATCTGCTCACCAATCTGGTTTCAGAAAGAAACATTCAACGTGTACTGCGCTTGTCAAGGTGACCGACGACTGGTTAAACGCAATGGACCAGGGACAATACACAGGGTCAGTCTTTGTTGATCTACAAAAAGCATTTGATTTGGTGGATACTGATATACTGTTACAAAAGCTCTTACTATTAGGCGTCACATGTGAATCGCTTCAATGGTTCAGGAGCTATTTGGTTGATCGAAAGATAGTGACTTGTATTAATGATGTAGTTTCTGATGCATTACCATTGACTGGTGGGGTGCCGCAGGGCTCTCTACTAGGCCCTTTATTGTTTGTCATATTTATTAATGATATGCCTCATTCTTTTGAAAAATGTAAAATACATCTATATGCTGATGACACTGTGTTATATTACTCCCATAAGAATCCGTCTGTTGTACAGTCAGTTCTCAACGAGGAACTAGCTCGATTAGATACATGGATATCTCGGAATAAACTGAAGATTAACTACAGCAAGACCGTGGGTATGTTAATTGCAACAAAAAATTTGCTGAAAAAACAAGATAAATTAGTTTTGAAAGTTCGAGGGAGAGATATAATCCAAATGCATAACACAAAATACCTAGGGGTGATCATTGACTCAGAATTGAAATGGAACATTCATATTGAAAACATGTGTAAGAAAATTGGAAAAATGGTTGGATTTCTTGGTCGATTGAGACATTGTGTAAATGAAACTAATTTGAAAATTATATATCAATCTGTTATTCTCCCGCATTTTGAGTATGCAGACAATGTGTGGTCGTCATCTTCTGATAAATATCTTGATCGGTTACAGAAACTACAGAATAGAGCGGGGAGGATCATTTTGAAGATAAATCGGCAGTCATATATATCGAATCAACAATTGCATGATATCCTAAAATGGGATACTTTGTCCCTACGGCGTACTAAACACATGAACGTTATGATGTTTAAAATACTGCATGGCCTGACTCCTAATTATATAAATGAAAATGTTTCTTTTAGAGTTACTAGATACTCACTTCGTAGTCAATTTAATCTTGCCCTTCCTAAACCCAGGACAAATTACTGTAAAAGAACCTTTGTATATAGAGGCTCAGTATTGTATAACGGATTACCATTGGCCTTACGCAACTGTAATACATTGTCTTCATTCAAGAGACTTTTGAGTTGTTTATAAGTTTACTTCACACAATTCTCTTTCTATAAATACCAGTTTCTTTTCTCTATACTGTCTGTCCTGGATATTTAATTTCTTACTATATTTTGCTTGAGAATTTATGTTTTGCCATTTTTCTTTGTCGTTTTTCTTTGTCGTTTGTTAATGTATATTGTTATTTATTGTATTGTTTTACTGTATCATTTCTGGTCCCCATGGAAGACCAGCGGTATCATAATGATACCGCTGAATATGGGCTATCCAGCCGTTTATTTTATCTTGTTATTCATTATTCTATTTGTTATTATATTACTGAATGCATGATGTCTTTTATACGGAAATAACAAAAAAAATGCGGATGAATGCCTTGCGAAAGGGCACTATAGCGCATCGACTAATTGGTTTCGAACCCGGGACCACCCGGTTACGGGACCGCTGCTCTACCACCGAGCCATCGATTTACAATTTAAAAAGATGCGATAACTACAGCATATGTAAGTAATTTGCCATTTCATCACTCTTTGATCTTACTTTAAAAAGAACAATTGACAACACTAATTCTAGTAGATATCGGGCATATTGTGGTACATGTATCACAGATGGTAGAGGGCGATAAAATATTAAAGCATAACATCTTCTTCAGTTTCTTGTTATTTTTACGCGTATAGTAGACAAACTTAACATTTACATTCCTAATACAATCTCAAAAAATAGAAGGAAAAAAAATCATTAGAAAGCCCGAAACTTACTTTCTAATATCTTTTTTATATAAATACCCGAAAAGTAAATTCAGACCCATTTAGTTGGAAAGCAAGTTCATTGTTTTATTCATGGCATTATCTTTCTAAAAATAATTATGTTTTCAGAAATCCTCAGATAATTGCTTTTTAAAACCAATAGCAACATATTGTTTAATAAACTGTTCTAAAAGGCAACTTTCACCTTTCCTATAACTAATTTCTCATAGGATGGATGTACCCTTTGCTTATTTTTGGTCGTTTCCCCTACTACGCGCCTCCCCTAATTTGTTGAATTTCATTGATTATGTTTTTCTTCTCCAATGTATGTAATGATTAAGCATCTCTCGCGCTATCTTTCTCTCTCTCTCTCTCTCTCTCTCTCTCTCTCTCTCCTCTGCGCCACCATAGAACACAATTTGGGAAGGGGGATTTCTCTTGCCTAAACGTATTTTAGTTTCAAAATTTTGCAGCAAAAATGTCGATTTTTAATATTTGTTATTGTGACAGTATAATTTCTGTCTCAACATTTTGAAGATTGGAAGAAATAAATAAAGAGACCCCCTGCACCTCGCTGGACAAGTTTCGGTAATTTCACATTCTCGGAGACTGCATGCAGTATGCAGCTAGCCCTCTCTCTCGCACTCTCTCTCGCACTCTTTCATTTCTACATACTGTTTTTCTCTCCTATCCTAGATGTAGACTCTCTCTATCTCTTTGTCTCTGTGTGACCGTCTCTCTCTCTCTCTCTCTCTCTCACTCTCTCTCTCTCTTTGTTTGACCCCCCTCTCTCTCTCTCTCTCTTTCTTAGTTTTTCATTTTTTCAGTCAAAGAATTTAAAAAAAGCTGAAGTAGCAGACGATATACGAGGTATTAAACGAGGAGTGAAGGACGTTCTCCAGCGATAATCATCCATTATATCACTCTCTACAATAATGCGCACATTCAGTATGACATAACGAACCGTCATAATACCCTTTTTCATTGTAGTTAGAATCAGATGCAAGCATTTTGATTTACAAACAAAATAATACTATAGACAAAGGTATGAGAATTTCAGAATATGATTAAGGTTATTTTATCACAAAGCATCTATGATGGAATGAAACCATGCATTGACAGATTTCTACTAATCCTGGATGTCACAGTTTCGAACATGATCCACAGTATTGTTGCACTTTGTGTGTGCTTAACATGAATTAATTTGAATTTTGATCAATTTTACGACCTAAACTAGAAAAGGAAATGCGAAAACGCACACTTATTATAATCTAAATCAGCTGCCGATCATCTGTTTATATTGCAAGCAAAGAAAATAATACTAAGCTGGAAGAATTGTTGAATATACTTGAATAATTTTTAGCCTATGTTATGTTTCACTCAATCATTGAGATTATTAATGTAAATATGTATTGAAATTATAGAAATAAAAACCCCGCTTGGGGATAAAGAGAAGGAAAAAAAATCTGTTTTTTGCTGACATATTTGTCCACAATGAAATGGCGAGCACGAATTTGAATAGGGCCAATATGGTACCGAAATGATCATTATAAAAAAAAATTACTGATCGTTTACTTAGATAATATTATACCTTCAGTTATTCTTCATATACAAAGAAGACAAAAGGATGTTACTACCAGTCATCATTATATTCTACATGAATTCTTTTGTTAAGAACTGCAGTGAATGCATAATATGATGCCTATAATTAGAATGAAAATAAAACAAGGACTGTTTCATATACTTTTTCTTCGTTACTTCTTTTTCATGAATCATACAACCGAAGTTCTTGGGTTGCATGTGGTCCTCACAATGAATGATTCGTGAAATCATACAAAAGCAGAAAAAACAGACAAATTCTCGTGAACACACAACATTTAGTGACGTCAGCTGACTTCAAACCCTCATATTAGATTTGTACACACACAAAACAAAAGAGATGATTAACAATTAGAAAGATTGACTACATGTATTACTAAAAGTTGCATTAGCCAATAGAAAGTACAAACTATTTACACAATATATTGCTACAACTTTGACGAGAATACATAGGATGAGTGTCTCTCAAGATTGTTCTCTTGGATGTTTGTTGTAGTGTGACCGCTTTGACAAGTTGCTTTCTATAGTTATTCGCACGACGCTCAAGAGTGATGAGTACATAATCTGATTTCAATCGCTTTTTGCCTTGGCAGTCCTGCCATAGTTGGTATTCAGTTGGCGTCGATTCAGCAGAATGATTAACAGTAAAATACCAAGAAAGAGAGGAGGCGACGCCATTGCAATGGGATCACCAATCTTCTGATGTGTGAGGAATGCTCCAATCATGATGATAAGAAGATAGAAAGCTCCAATCACCCTCCAAAAAGAGCGTCCGAATGCTAGCATGCTCCCGAAGACGGTTTCAGCAAACCCGACGGCCGACCTGTAAATCGTCGTAGTGATCGTAACCCCAAACATGTGATGTACGGGCAGGACAGAGAGGTAACGTTTGAACATCGTCTTCATCTCTGACTGGCTGAAACCATTGCCGAGCTCGATCGGTGTGAGCTTGAGAAGGCCTGCGAAGATGAACAGGAATCCGACGAGCACGGCGATGTAGTGAATGAGTCCCATGATGATAATGTACTCGTACTATATACACAGCATGTGAACTCAAAATGGATGCATACAAATCCCAGGTCTCGCCACAAAAGAGTGTACTAATATGTCTCTAGCTGTAAAAAAGCTGCGTGAATTTTTGATTAGACCGTTAAGTCTAAAATGCACATGACTTGTAAACTGTTGTGATGCCGAAAAACATTCTATATAGCACAGTATGATAGATTGGATAAGCTATGTACACATTAGTGCACACCAATACAGTTACAAATAGACGAGTCGGTGAGCGGGTTTTTTTCGGCTGCTTAGTTGATGATATTGATATCCGAGGGTTAAAGGTTATCCAGGACAAAAGAACGCATTCGTAGTAGGGTCCATGCTACATGCATGTCGTCTACATAGCTAAGCGCTCGAACGCAGCTGGTATAATATGCATGTATAGGGGTAGGCCTATACATGTAATAATTTGCGGTGGATCGTATACAAAATTAAAGTTTTCTATTATCGTGGGCCCATATTGAAAGAAATCTATTAGTTAATCCTTCTGTAATTGCATTTAAAGCTTATAATCGTTCATCTGTCCGAAAGCTAGATCAAATTAACCTACTTTATCACAAGGAAAGAGGCCTATATTGTATTTTCTGGAAGTTTAGCCGACTGCTAAGACAGTGGGCATGGCTAGATAAATTTACCATGATCTACTGTTTAAAATATATGTACTGTGTCTAGCTCAAGTGGGATGAAGATAGAAAGGGAGAGAGAGAGAGAAGGGGGGTGGGGGGGGGGTGAGCATGAACAACTGGCCTTGCTTCGCGATAGCTCTATGGTATAAAGCTACTCGGAAATAATATATTGCTGTTCCGTACCATACATTTGCATCATGTGGAAAAAAAAAATCACTATTAGAAATGATATACCATCTTTCATAGTGCAAAACAAAAAGTGTATGATAATTGGATGTATTGACTTTTGTGAAGTTTGTGGGAGGTTAATTCGAGGGCCTGCGCGTATATTGAAGATTCTTACAAAAGTCTACATTTGCCGAGGCTAGTTAAAAAAACTCTTTTAGGTAGACCTATTAGTCCGTGATCTAACTCCGACTGCACAAAATGGACAATCTAAATATTTAAAAACCATATAAAACGGAAACATAACAGTTTTACAAATTTAAACTGAAAATGAAGTATCCGAGAAAATACAATGTTTCTCTCTCTCTCTCTTCTATCTTATCCTTTCTTCCTGTCTCACTTTAGCAGAAATTGACAATTCAAACAACCTCATTTTATCATTGCCTATTATTGTAGACATGGGTGTCGATCCATAACTGATACCTATTCATCAGGGGGGGGGGGATGATCTATTCATTCATCCCCCCCCTGATGAATAGGTATTACGTAAGGATCGACACCCATGATTGTAGAAGTCGAAAGAACTTTTGAGAAGGGAAACCTAGAAATAAATATTGTTTCATTGCATCATAAATATTAATTCAATAAAGCTCTTTCAGAAGAGTGAAAGCAGAAAATATTTTTACGAATTTAAAGTGACCTAAAGTATCCAAGAAAAATAAATACTTCTCTCTCTCTCTCTTCTCTATCTATCCCTCTCTTTCCTCCCCCCCCCCCCCCCCCCCCCCCTCAATCTTCACTTTAGCAATCATTAAACTGAGTTCAAACAACCTCATTATGTTAAGGTGTCTTTTGTTGTTATAAATCTAATCGATTTTTATGGAGATACCCTTTTATTTTTTAAGAGCATCATGAATACTGTTTATTCTCTCTTATTATTTTAAATGGAAGATGAATGAGTTTGAATTCATAAAAATCAAGAGATAATTCCTTTATTCTTTCTCCTGTTACATATTCCATTCATACCTCGGGAAACATTAGGCTGGTGACCTACAACACTTAATACAACAAAATAAATACGACTTTGTTGGCAAAACAGTATTCCAATTATTTTCTTTGTATTTCATGCTCAATTTCAACACACATAATCGACTTATGACTACATCTTCATAAAATTCTGTCTCATCTCTTACATTTGTCACACACAAATACATTGTTTCATTACAACACAATGTCAGGAACCTACTCAAGATTTGAATTCTTGAAAAATGCAATGCTTTCTACATGTACACTGCAGTCCAGTCCATAATATAACTATTTGAATGATTTCCAATTAGAGGGGACAATGAGACATTAGATCAAGTTTCTGAATAATAATCATTTTATGATTAGAAATGATGATGACATTGTCTGTTTGGAGCCAGGGGGTATCAGGTTATATACTTCTACTTAGAGTTAATGCCCTTCTAGATCTGAACAGACAACATGTACATTCATTTATTTATTTTAATCTTAAGGAAATTGTTGTGATCTCATCTAAATTGGCAAGACCTTTTGATTTCACCATAAATAATCTTTACAACAAAAATCCCCAAAAGATAATTATAATGGTCATTATATCGCTCATTTAGTCGTAGTAAATTAAAATGCATATAAAATAATTGTCCGGTACCAGAAGGGCATTAATCCATATACGTTTACACAGAGGTAACAGCATCTGCTTCCCATTTGCACCCTTTATTACATAACAAATCACATTGTGCATATTAGTATGTACTTGTACATAACCACAGCATGTTGTATTGAGATAACATACATGTAAGAACATTTGTTACATTTTTCATTTGACTTGGATATTTACTTTTGGTATACAATACTTTCTTCTCGAACATACATGTTTTATGTTTCGGAGAAGGCTGAGGGGAAGCAATAAAGTCAAGAATAAATTATAAAGAGCATAAAGTTAGAAAATTAGCTCAAAGAACCTATTTAAAAAGTTATGATGTAAATAGACAAGATATATTGTTGTGAATTCTGCAATCTTATTTGCAACCTGTATCAATATGTAAATCACCATATTATGTCCATGGCAAGTACACCTGCACAAAATATAATATTGTACGCTAACAAATATTGCAGGACTCTTTGTGGATTATAACAAAATCAAATGGAACTGACATATCTGCAAAGAAAAACAGAGGCAATCATCCCAGCAGAACGAAGTAAAGGTCCAGATCAGGATTACACAATCTCTTTTTTGGGGGGTGGTTCTGCTGATAACAGTAGATTTTCTTCAATTTATAATGCAATTTAAACAAATTAGTGTATGTATAACATGACAAATATATGGTTAGGCCTATGTAGATGTACGAGACAGTAGATTTGAAAACTACAATTACAAAACCAATTTGTCAGTGAAGACATACATTTTCCTTCCACTTAATACTGTGAACAGCAACAAATGTTAGCATTTGATCTAACAAATTGTACATGTTTAAAGTTCTGTTAGAAGGTTGGTACATTAATAAATGTTGTATTGCTTTTAGTCCTGCATTAATCAGCTTGAAGCAACATAAAAGTGGATAGCTAATTCAACATACAGTGTTTATAATAAAGAAGAAAACATAGGGAGAATGAAACATACACACGAATAACAAACAAGAATTATCTTGATGCATCTGTAAGAAGATCAGAACAGCAGAGTTGCCACATGAATATAACAACTTAAGTTCCACATTAGGATTAAATACAGACTTTTTTATAATATAATATTAATTAAGAAGAATCCTATAATTATCTCTTTTTATCATGAAAACTTTGTTTCATGTTACAAAGCAAACAAGTTGTAGGAGTAGTCAATTTGAAGTAACGACATCAATTGATGTCTTCTACGGTGTGTCCGATTCTCAACACAACATTAGCCATGTCTACAGCCACACAAAATGAATTGAACCTCACGGCAAACAAGTCTAAGATCAGACCCATCCCATCACCTTCTTGACTCTTATATGATTCATGACCAGACATCCCATCATGCACTGCAGTCCGATCGCTGCAAGTGGGATGCAACACATTCCTAGCATGATTTTCCTGTTCACTGTCATTGTCTTCCACAGTCCTGCTTGCTTCGTTGACAGCTTGCTTCTCCATCCTATACACCCCATACTTCAGGTTCCCCACAATGCTCCATGAGCTATCCATGAGCTGATTGGCTACCTTCATGCCACAGCCACACCTACCCAGTCTCATCAGCCAATCAGAATCCGCCATGGCTTCTCTTGGGATGCACCAGCTGTGATGAGATGTGGAGTCTGTCACAAGATGGCTGCCATCATCATGAACAGTTGCCATGGAGACTGCCTCCAAGCAGGATGCAAATTTCTCAGCTAATTGTAGAAACTGGGTTTTAGAGCATCCTATATCTCTCCATACGCTCTCATCCACATGTGATACCTAGTATACAGACAAAACATATTATTATTAAAAGACAATTATTTTTTTTAAGAGTTCAGCTATTTTTTTTTACTATTTCAAGTTGGCAAAACTTGAAAAGGGATAATGATAATACCTTCCAAATTCTCATTGCATGACAAATGTTAGGAGAATGTCTTACAGACTGAAATATTCCCATTCTTAATCAAAGAAATCACTAAAATATTGTCTTTCTTTGTTTACATGCAAAATATCACCAACTAATAAACATGTATGATTAATTGTGGTTGTAAAGTAAATTTATGTTGCATGCTTCTAGAAACATCTTTTTTTAATTGCTGAAGGTAAAATTGTATACAAGTAATTGTTTTATAGTAGACTCATTAAGGGAGAGAGAAGTTACATTCTGACCTGTTCTCTGATATGATGAGCAAGGATAACATTCAGACAGCCTGCTCCAGGGACAGCGGTGGGGTTACTCAAGGTCAATGCCAGGGTATGATGAGCCACCTGGCAAACATGCTGCTCAAAATCAAAGGAAAAAATGCAATGTTAAGGATTCCACTGTAAAGTAAGATAAGCAAAGCAGGGAAATTTCTAACAAGATTATAAATAAATATTATCTATACAAAACATACCCAAAGATCAGATTGGGTTTGTGTTTTACAATGACTGTTTGATTTTGTAAATCAAACAGCAGAAGTTTTTTACATACCAAGGATCACTTTCACTGCGATCTGGGAAAAGCTCACTAATCTCTGGGATAACTGTAAAAATCTTATCATCCATTTGATGAAAATTACTCAAACATAATGTATGTACATGTACATCAATCTACAATAGCTTGGTCCTAAATTGTTAAGATAAGACTTTAAACAACAATTTCACTACATTGATTTATGGTAGTCAGAAGAAAACGTTTGCATGTGTCTATTGTCTCAAATGTGTACCTCCTGCACTCAAAATTCTGTCCTTAATCAATATCAAGCCACATGAAACTGTTACTAAGCTTCATGATCATATGACAATTACCTTCATTTCTTCTAGGCTTTGTTCTGTGTGATTGCACAATACCAGTGTACATAGTGATGAAGAAGTGCTTTGGAGATGAAGATAGCTTTTACCAAACATGACAAGGTGCTTGATGTCAGTTATATAACCAAAACTGGATGAAGGGACTGCACAGCTGAATGAACCTAGTATCTCTGCACCTAAATGGGAGAAACAGTTATGGCAAAGAGCTGAAATGCAGTAATTGTTTTGGGACATTAATACCAGCTGTAAATAATTTTTGGTTTTAATTTGTTCAGACAACTCATTAACTCATTAAGAGTTGAACATGTGATACATGTAAATGTATGACCTTGATCCTATCCATTCAGTACATAAACATAACCCATGTTTCAGTAAGGTTAAAAACTATCCAGATATTCTGTATCTTGGCTTACTGTATTCTTTTAGAAGTATGGTAAAAAATGTAAATGAATCATACAAATTATGAACGCTCAGTTTTGGAATGATATAAAAGGCTTTGAAAACAAATTGAAGTAACAATACTCTATATGAGTTTCAATTCACGATGGTCTAATATCATATCAAGTGTGCACCTGTAAAGATGAACAGTAAACATGGACTTTAATTATTTCTGCTAATTTTAAAGAAATCATTTAACAACAATCCAAAATTAACATAATAATAATGCTCAAAGTACTTACCAGTGACCTGCTGTACAGCTCCAATATGGCGAATGGACAGACGGTCAATAGCGAGAATACCCTTCTGTCTGAGGTAGCGTTTGATGGATGGATGAATGACCTTCTGACATGCTACTAATCCAACTCTTGTGTCAACCAGCTGATCAACAAGATCCCTCATGGCTTGGAGATTACTAGCTTCAGCTGTTAATCCAGGAGACAACTCATATCTGAAATGACAAAAATCATAATCAATAGATGATTTCTAAACAGTCCAATATACACTGTAGAATTAATGCCCGACCATTTCATTTTAAAGGCTTAATAATGATAAAGTGTATAATTAAGGAAGTGAATTATACATTTCAATCGCATCATTGATAATCACTTGAAACAAGAACAGAACATGGAACATTTGAAGAATTGCTGAAGCCATTTATCTTGGCTGTACAAAGTCCTATGCATCCAAATGTTGTAGGGCCTACTCATGAAAGTTACCAATAATTCTGCTGTCATCATTTCATCACAACTTAATACTACTCTGATATTTCTGTTCACATCCTTTACGTAAATTCAGCCTTCATTCAACACTGGTATACTGGATATATATTAATAAGAAGATTTACCCAACATCAGCATATTCCTCACTATCCCCTGACAGAGATATGTTGAACAGCACTACTCTAATACAGCCAGCATCATGTCCTGAGTCTATCCTAGGCACTTGAAGATCTTTAGTATAGAAGGCAGGAATATCTGGGGCTTCTATCAGAATGCCTTCAAGGATGTGTGAACCTGAAGGCATCTCCCCCTCTACTCCAATGACTTGAACCTCGGGAATGGTCAATGGCTGACCATGGTCCACACTTGGGATGGAGGATATGAAGGACTGTACAACAAGACTGGCTATCCCGTGAAGGTCCTGCTTGACCAGGCCACAACCTGGTTTTGAAGCAATCACTGATCTAACAAGTGACAAGAGTGTCTCCATGGATGCCACATTGATAGGTATCCTAAAGATATCGCTGGACATCATGGTCTTTTTGCATATGTCCTGCATTACTTCATTGACGGCTACACTCATCATGGGATGCAGTCCAGTCTCCCAGCAGCCTTCAACCAATGAACACGCCAGAAGAGCAACATGGAGGCCTCCATCAGAATACACCTTGAGGTGGCCCTCCACAGCTGCAGAAAGCATCTTCAGCACTGGTTTGGACAGTGACAGGGTCGACAGTAGTCTCTGGCTGGAGGAAGTCAGGGTAACATGGCCTCCACACTGGTTCTGAATCATTTTCAAGTGTCCTTGAGGCCCATAGCAGGACTTGATGATGGATTTGAAGGCTTGGAGAGCATGAATGTTGGCTGGATGTTGCTGGTCATAGGAGCTGATGTGAGACTGTTCCTTGGGAGTTTGATAGGCCATACTTGCTCCAGGAGACACAGCACACATCTGAAAACAGAAGAGAAAACATCTCTCAATAGGCTACATTGATTTAGTCAAGGAAGAGATCTTTACTGGTGTAACTAGCTGTCAACCAACTTAAATGTAAGATCTTCCTACCAACTTAGATGTAAACTTGATGTGGGGAGAGGGGATTACTTGTCCCCTCTGCTAAAAGTGTACCAATAACCTAAACAAATAGTTGGTGTATGGCTAGAAGTAATATTTCAAGCTCATATTTTTAATACAGTATAGACACATGGAACCATAATACACAAAACAAAATATTCTTTTGGATGATTGGTACACTTTAAAGACACTCTTTGTTTGATATATCATTAACAAATATAATCCTAAATACTATTAAATTTATAAGTTTTATACAGTTTGGAGTATTCAACGTTTCCTTTTATTAAAATAAACTACTTCTGCTAGTGTATTTCTTCGGTTCTTCCGCTAAAATTTAGACAATACAAATAGAAACAGAATGAGAAGAAACTAACATTTTTATCTACATGAAAGATAGCCTGTAAATTCCCGAGTTGTCAGTCTGCCTAACATACAGCAAGTACAAAATGTTGTCCCATCTCAGAACTACTAAAATCCACAAAACCCTCAACAAACTTGCTGGTTGATTAACAGCACTCACAGGTACATCAAATTAACACTTTACCTTGATATGAATGTTGCTTTGCTAGATTGTATTACTTCTCATCTGTTCTTATAACCATTACAGTCTCCTGCTCCTTCCTGTCCTCAGCAGTGGCTGATGTCTTCGCGATCTTCTGCACATTATAGATCACTAGGTGAATCGTGGCCAACGTAATTAAAGCACCAACAAATCTGTGCTGCGTAATAGTCCTTCCGAGACCCATGGTATACTGTCCTTCAGTGAAATTAAATTTGAAATGTATTGGGCGTGTCCTCAATTTCAATTGATTGCACAGATGTTGGCTGATATGACTGACCGACTGACCTGTAATGCAAGTTATGGAAAAATAACCATTTATAGTGAATGCTGGAACCATTTTGGGAATGCTTCTATATATATACATGTATGTAATATTGATCAGGTATCTCATAGTGTTGTGGAAAATGTTGCATACTATCTGCTGAGAGGTACAATAAATGGCTATATGTAATCTAATGCGGAGTTAACATCCTTCTGGGTCTTAAGAGACAACATCTTTCACTTTGTATAATGATTGAACATGGTCTAACATTGCCTAATTATAATAATCAAACAAGCACATATCATTTACAGAAAAAGGAATACAACATTTTCACTGTGTAGATTGATTTCTTGCAATGAAGCTTCAGTGCTACTTGAGGAAATCCATAAGTTGTCATAAAGCATAACTACATTACCAGTATACTTGCATGAATTTTGACATCTCCATGAAACAACATTCCTTGTTACTTTGAAAACCTGTAGACAATTCAGCATTAGCAAATTTGAATGGATGTATCATGAATTTTTTTGTGATACCTTTATCAAGCATAACATGCTGTTCCATTTAAGTCTGAAATACCCTACATTAATATTTTCATAACATTACAGATTGATAAAATACCTAATCTGCTATATTGACAAATTAAGTGATCTAGAATCAAAACATTAAACTTTATAATAACAGAAAAAGGAAACAGAACTTGGCAAGTCTGAAAACCCATGAATTAACTGCCAAAAATAAACGTTATCTTAAGAGCTACAATGAACTTACAACTAATTGGATTTTTCAGCTGGTGCTTTCAAAGCCTTAGATTTGATGTAGGATGGAAGAAGGTCTGAAACTGTCTTCTTTTCTCCTTTATTGAAGACCGGATCATTAGCGATGTGAAACCAACCAACATGAATTAGTGAAAGACTAATAAGACCTACGAAGAGCACTTTGTTGCGAACAAAAAAGTTCTTCTTTGGTGGGTTCATGATGTACACAATGCTTCCTTTCCCTTTATAGGGGATGAATGTAATATATGTTGATGCAGCAGCAACGAACTGGAATAAAAGAGTAAAATAAAAACAAGTTTGGTTAATAAATTCAGATGAAGTTCACTATAATTCTTGTTCAGAATTTGTTTCTGTACTAGATCTAGGCCAACTCCAGCAAAGCATAGAGAGTCAATCAATGCGTATTGACCTCTAGCACTGCATACTTGCTGTGAGGCAGGTATTATTAGATATACACACAAATATACACACCATACAATATTGCATAGACTGCAGTCACTGCACACAATAGGTCGGATTGGGCTGATCGACAAATTTGACACTAGACTTACAATTTGAATTTTTAACATCATTGGCCCGAATTCACAAAGGAGGTTTGTCGTCAAACCTCCTTTTGTTTTGACAAACCTCCTTTTGTTATTTACAAACCAGGTTTGTAAAAATCGCGTCAAAACGCGTCATATGACGTACATAAACCTCGGTTTGTCGACAAACCTCCTTTGTGAATTTGGGCCACTAAGTTTAAAAAAATGTATTTTTCTGCTATTTAGGTGTCATCAATTGTCACTAAGAGTGAAATCAGTTGAGTTTTGTACAGTGGTGTTTGAAATGTTGAGACTCAAAAGCATTTGAGATTTAATCTGTAATTCTTTAATTCTGGTATACTACTCACCATGTAAATGATGTTTTCATGTATAGATCTATGTATGTCTAGAGTCTATATATGTATATTATGTTATGCAGGGCCCCCAAGAATAACAGTATTTTAACTACTGATGGGGCTACAATGTTGAAATAAAATGAAGTAAATAAAATAAATAAAAAAGTCTACTACACACAGCCAATTGTCCAATTCTCAAGCAGCATGAATTATCACGGCCAGTGTGAGTCTAAAATCAACAGATCACATATCACACATGCCACAAACAAATCCACATTCCTTCAAGATATACATAAGCTGATCCTTTCGGAAAAAATGGTCGTCAATTCTTCTTCCACTGCCATGGATTGACCTGGTAATTATATTCAGATTTCTGACCACCACACACAAACATTAACACGTCGGACTATCAAATAAGAAGAGGAATCACTCTTGGCTCGATTTCTTCGGTAAAATCCTACAGTTCCCTAGTTTACTCACAATTAATGTTAAATTTTAATAATATGTTCCTATTCATTCCGAAAAAACACGAATATATTGACTTCATACCTCTACAAATTTCCTCCCACAGCGATTAGGTGTCTGCTAACTGGACAGAGGTTGAAAGTTGAAACTTTATAATTTTTAACCATGCATGAGGCATGACAAATTTATGTCAGCACATTGGTTACGCCTAACGTTTCCAATTCCTAATTAATTGAGTATTTATTTAATAAACTGAATCCAGCTACCCTCTTCTAATTTTTTTTTTTCATACATAACAAGCATAAGTCTATACTTTATTGCAGACAATTTCATTTATTTATTTTAGCACATCATGACATGTATGCAAAGCCAGAAGTTACATAAGTCATGCCATGACTGCTGCTTTGTCTCCCTCTTGTGTTATTTCATGCTGACGAAACTTAACAAAATGGCAGCGCTCAGTGGAACGTGCGTGAGGCAGTGGTTACGATTTTTGGGTACAAATGCTGCAAGAACAAGGAGGGTGGATCACAACAGTAACAGCAGGACTAACTTACCGGCATCTAATCATCATCTTAGGCAATTAGTTCGCCCACTATCAGTGACTTCAGTGGTCAGGAATGAAGAAAAACAACCCAATCAGCCGACAGAGAGTGCGATGCCATTGGTGGCAATGCTCCGCGAGGCAGAGGAGAAGGCGAAACGGGAGACAGACGACGACAGAAAGAAGAAGGAGGAGAGAAAAAAGAGAACGGCACGCATCCAGAAGTGGGCCATGCGCATCACGGGAGGAATGCTTGTTGGAGCATCACTATTGACTGTTTATGAATTAGGTAGACCTGAGTGTAGTGTGTTGCATCAGTTCACAAGTGTGCCCATACTCCGGCCGTAGTTTTCTTCATTATTTACTCAACTCTGCACCTGGCAGCTAGCTACGCATGACTCGCGCGTGGAGAGTACCCTACAAAACACAAATAAAACATTCCAAAAATCAAATAAATCTTTAAACAATTGTTCAAATAAATGAATGATCATGATTTCAAAGTCATTATCTTTCTAACCTGTTTTGACTTTCACTTTGTGTCTATTTTCCTATCTTTTTTGAAGCATTTTTCCTAAAAACGAAGACATAATTTCATAGGCCTAGATCTAGACCTAGTCTAGTGCAAACTGCTGCACAAAACATGGTCTAAAGGCTACAAATAAATGTGTGAAGTTACATGTTTAGTAGGGTACTCTCAGGTTTCACTGCAAAGTGCAAAGTGCAAACTGCTGCACAATGCAACCTACAGCTACAGTAGGCCTACAGGCTACAACATAATTATGTGAAGTTGCTTGTTTAGTAGGTTACGCTCCACGCGCGTAGCTAGCTGCTGGCGCCAAAGTATATGCATGGGCACACTTGTGAACTAGCGCAAAAAAGTTGTCATGTTGTTTAACCGTAAAAGCTAAAACGTTCAGCAAGAAGGCGTATTGTTTAACTCGCCAAGGGCAAAGCGCCATTTTTGAATCGTAAAGGCTAAAAGGCAAGTTGATATTATGCTGGAGCGACCTCTCTCTCTCTCTTGTACCCTTCCTCAGCCAAGATCGGAGATTGTCGGCACTGTGACTTTGAGTCTGCCGAAGTTCCATAAAAGGCTTTATATAGGTTGCTGGTCCCAGAACACCTTGCTTGAGCAGCTGTTGTAGAATTATGCAATGGTATGCAGCTGGGAATGGGTGTGTGGCTGCTATCTTTGCCAGGAGACCTTCCTGCCAAACCCTGTCAAATGCTTTCTGAGCATCCAGTATGAAGATGTATAGAGCTCTTGGTTAAAGAGCTTGAAGATTTCAATGACAAGGTCCAGGACTTTTCCTGTAAGAGTGCAGGATCTTCCCTGCTGAAATTTGAACTGGAGTGGGTCTGGTATTTAGTGTTTTAGGTGTTGGGTGATTTTACGTTCCACCAGCAGCTTGCGTAGGACGGAGGTGAGCCAGATGCCTCTATAGTTACCTGGGATAGATGGATTCTTGTCTTTGCCTTTGTGAAGAGGGATCACAAGACCATCCTTACGGCTAGGTGGAATGTGCTTCAAATGAACCATCCAATTCATCATCACAATAGGTGTTCAGGAGGGGTGTTTGGTCCACTCGCTTTGGCTGATTGTTGACTTTCTTTCTTGTGGCATTCTTTTCTAGGCCCCAGTTTGTAGTGTTGTTTGTCATGTCTTTGGTAGAACTCCTGAAGTTGACCTTGCTAGGAAAGGCTATATTGAGGTCATCATTCATAAGTCAGCTAGTTCTTCTGGAATTGTATTCATCTTCCACATTGAGTTGAACCATGTCAAGCTCCCTCTGAAGCTGTCGTGTCTAGTTAAGGAGTTGCTCATTCTCCATTAATATGACTGCGTTTGTGTTGCATTTTTCCTTCAAGTCTTCCTTGATATAACTGCAGCCAATCAAAAACAACAAGTTGACAATGCTTTTACGGGAGTGTTTCTTTTATTCTTGTTCAGCTATCCTTATGAGCGTAGCTTCATTTCTTTGAACTGTGAAAACTGTCAAAAGCAAACGACAACAAAAAAATGGGCATTAATTCAAAGATGCTATAATAATTATAGGTTCCTTATCCAAATTTGGGCGTGACCCATGGGCATTCCTGAACAGTCTTCACACTTCTATAAATTAATATAACCAACTGCATGCCCGCTTTCACCATGTTCCTGAAGAGCTTTGTTCAGGTCCAGGTTCTTCAGGTTGACCTTCCTCGAGTACAGCTCTTGCAGAAGTTGCTTGCGTACCTTCATCTTGATTATTGCTGTTAAAGTACTCCCCCTTGTTAGATATGCCCTTTCCGTCAGGCTGCGATGGCGAGAAGCAAGGGACGAACATCACTGGGACATGTAAGGAAAACTTGTTCCGTTTCTAGTTGTTCATTCATTTGGGCTTCTCTGAGATGTTGGCTTTGTGAGGTGTCATCACGCAGGTGAATGGGGCCTTTTTGTCTGTTATTAGTTCTGCTAGATCGTGGTCCTTTTACCCTTTGTATTCAAAGGGAGTCCACGTGTCACATGCCTGGCACTGAATTGTACTAAAACATGCAAGTGTGTTGCAGGTAGAGCATTGCACACAGGAACACTGGCATATCTTGGCACTGCTAAGACACTTACGTGACATGCTAGCACACATGTAGATTTCATCGAAGAGGCAGTTTAGGCTTCTTCTGACAGAGGAAAATCAGCAGTGACATAGATAGATAGTTTATTGTTTTCCACAATATCTCATTTTACAAAGAGTGTAACATCATATTGAAAAATTATTATAATAAACATTAACATACAGTACCGGTACACACTATTCAGAAAAATTGCTTGCAGTTTGCCATGCACTCCAAAATGTTTGCTGCTAACAAAACTGTACGCAAGACTTTGCAACAAAGGTGTTTTATCACACTGTTTTTTATGAAGATTTATTAGTTTCCTTTTGTTGTTTTCTTTCATTTATAATCTGTAAGGCTATAACATTGTTAAAGTTCTGTATTAGCTCCATACAAGGAACCTCTACAGTGTATTGAAGACAAATGTTATCATGATTATAGTATACCTCTCCTTTTCTATTTTGTTTAACAGGCCAACCTCAGCTAGACGAGCATGGGAAAGTGGTAAGATTACTGTTTTTCTTTTTTCTTTTGTATATACATGTGTTGTGGGGGGGGGGGGGTCTAGTTTGTTACTTTTAAATCAAATTAATTTCCAAGTGTATATTGCCTATAACAGATTTCAAGACTGTTTGTCATATGTACAGTGTATTTACTAGTAACCTTATCTGTCTCTTCTGTTCTAGCTGTGTATGATCTGGATTTTTCCAATGTCTATCTGCGTTGTAACAAATCTATCTATGCCAGTTAGAATGATAATAGAAGGAGTAATATACAGAAGTTGTAAACACAAAAGTATCCCAAGGGAGTTGTAACTTGATCAGCATCACATCTAAGAATTATTTAATCATATATTTTACTTTATTATTTTTCAATTCTGTAATCTATAGCAAGGGATATGAGCCTTCAAACTAGAGCTAGAATTCAAATATTCCAATTGAAATTAAACAATATAGTAATTTTATTTCACAATGTCACAGGAGCTGTTTAATGTTCCTTTTCACTTTGGATTATTTGTAATGATTAATGAGTACTTGATGGTTGTTAAATACATTATTTCATTTTTATTTTTACTTGTTTTACACACAGATAGTAGATGAGTTTGAGGATGATTTCATCGTCTTTGGCTATTTGAAGAGGGCGTACAGAGAAATGAACACGTACCGAACGGTAAGTAAAGTTGAGAGATATTTGCTCTGAAAGAGATTAGAAATTCAGGAAGAAATGTCCATTGTGGCTAGAAATCATGGCAGTGTCATGGAGTTTCCATTTTGTTTTTTTATATCAAGTTTCAAAACTCAAAAATATATCCATGGATTAGTTGGATACAAATGATATTAAACATCTGTATCTTTACAACATATACACAACATGCATCAAGAATCCAGTATAAAGTGCAGAAGAAATTTAGTACAGAATTGTATGGTCAGTCTTTGCTGTAAAAATCATTTGGCTAAATTAATCCAGCCTACCTGTCTGACCTTTGCAGTTGAACTAGGATTATATTTGTTTGCTTTATTGACCTTTTGGAGATTTTAAGTATTATATATCTCTTCATGGGAAATGAAGTAACATGGGTTTCTGGACAAAAGAAGAATTTTTGTTGTTTTCAGGCTTTAAACAAAAAATCATAAGAATCAGACCGTTTTTCTATACCTTTGAAATAAAGCATAGGTACCTACTACACTGTTTATTTTCAGTGTAAAACTTAAACCTGCATATATATTGTAAGTCTTTGTCCAGTTTGAACTATACCTGAAATACTACACATTCTTCATTTTTTATTGTCTATATAGATTTATACAGATTGTTTAATTTACTCTCGATTTTATATCTCATTTTGTTCAGATGATTGCAGAACCATCAGCTGAGAAACTCCTTCCAGATCCTCTGGTTGAACCCTACTACCAGCCACCTTATACACTCGTTCTAGAGATGAAAGACATACTAGTCCACCCAGAATGGACGGTCAGTGCAACAATTAGATTTATCCACAAACCTTACCAGTTCTCTTCTGTACCTCAGTGATGCCCGACAAATCACTCTTTAGTCCACCAGATTTTTGCTGATGCATATGTACTGAAAACCTACGTGTCATTAATGTGAGAAAGTTATTTTCAGAAATTACATTTTAGATTCATAATGCTGTAACTTTCACATTGTTAAATGTATCAGAGACAATTACATACCAGTAACTTGTCAAATTAACTTCCTTTGTTTTAGTTTGTATGCATTCATAGTCCATGAACATTACTAGTGAGTAGTCATATATGAATTGTTGAGAAATGTCAAAATAATGTTTTAAAGGCATTTATATGTGTCAGATATATTAAATGACTTTCTGTTTTTTGTTCATCTCACAATTCCAGTATGCCAATGGTTGGAGATTCAAGAAGAGACCTGGGGTAGAATACTTCTTACAGCAGGCTGGACCACCATTATTTGAAATTGTCATCTACACCTCAGAACAAGGATTTGTGAGTACTTTCAGGATTGACCATGTCGTCTGTTTAAAGCCAGGAGGGCATTAACTCTGTGTTGAAGTATATGAGGTAATGCCCTTCTCGTTCTTGGCAGGTGATGCATGTAGTCTGTCAAATGATGAGAATAACCATAATGACCATAAGTTGTGCTTTTATAGCGCATTGTACAGGAGTTTTTCTATGAAAGAAAGTTTATTAATCTACTGCAAAAGAATTATAAAACTTATAAAGTAAAGAATATGTGTGACTGCAAAGCCATAAAGTGATTAGACAAATGATGGTCCTCCTGGAAGATGAACAAGAGGATAGGAAATCTGAAAAGTGAGATTGTGGAGAGAGATTAGTGAGAGAAACTTGGAAAGTTACGAGGTAATATGTAGGGTACTACAGGAAGCAGTGTGGCACAGTGGATAAAAGCAAAGGTCCATCTATTACTAGAGGTTACCCAGATTCCACACAAAGTCAGTTTGTGATTGCCATTTCTTAAATAAGAACTTACTTATATACTGTACATTGTATGTCCTGGCTGTGTTAGTTTTTTTGGTGCAAAGATTATTAGACATACAGAGGATCTAGTACCAGGACTACTTTTAGAGAAGATTATTCTTTATGAAACACAAATTAGATAGTAACACAATGTAATGCATTGTTCAATTTGTTTTTCCTCTTATTATTATTTTCACAGACTGCATTTCCCATCCTGGATTCCTTAGATCCCAAGGGTTGTATCATGTACAGGCTCTTTAGAGATGCAACCAAGTATGTCAATGGCCATCACGTCAAGGTTTGTCAAATTTCTCTCTTAATGCAAAGCTTTTAAAGTCTGGAATAGAATTATTGGGTAGTCCTGTGGTTGTTGAAAGTTTTTTTGTTTTTTTTACACAGACCTGATATTTTTTAGAATATCATGAAAATCGGTGCTAGTAATTCAACCATACTTATTGCATGTTGTGGCAAATCAAAATATTAAGATTATACCTTGCTTACAATTATTTCTCAAAACCCAGATATATTGATAGGTTACTTGGAAGGATGTTACTTCTGCATGCAATGGGAGCTACAAATTAATGACAAAAATACATCCAAAGAAGATTTTTGTTTTTCCCTCATAAAAATGAATGGCAAGTGGTACCCACTCTGATAGAACAACTATTTCTCCTATGCACAGGCACATTTCTTCAAAAAGCAGAGGAAACCAAGAAGAAGAATAAGAAGATGGTGTGTAAAAAATAGATGATAACAATATTTGTCTATGTTCCCTTCTTATACAGGATCTGTCAAGTTTGAATCGTGATCTTTCTAAGGTAATCATTGTTGACTGCAATGCCAAGTCATACCAGCTACAGCCTAAGAATGCTCTGGGTTTGAAGAAATGGGAAGGCAATGATGACGACAGAACTCTCTTTGAATTAGCTGCCTTCCTCAGAAGTAAGTTCCTTTATGTAGTTTGCTGCTCTCATTAGATTATTTTCCACCACAATTGTTGTTTTGGTTTAAATTGTCACTGTTCTTTAATTTCAATCAGTAATTTGAAGGTTTGAGATAATGAATAAGAGATGCAGTAATCTTTTTTAAAATGTTCAAGAAAATCATTGCTGCTCTAACATTTATAGTGGAGACAGGTCACAATTATCTTACAAAAGAAATTCAGAATGAAGCATTTGTAAAGAACTTCTGTCTTCCTTTTATTACTTAAATGTAATTACCGTAATTAACGGTGTATTAACCGCACCTTTTTGCCGCCTTTTAGGGCGAAAAAGAGGGGTGCGGTTAATACACAAGGGCGGTTTATACAACGTAAATTACAGTATGGTAAAAGAAGCAGTGCTCATTTGTAGATGTCTAAATCACCTCTGACAAGAATCGTGATTCATTCACTAAAATCATTAACATGTTCCATTTGGGGAGAAATATATCACACGATTCTCTTGTTCATTACCTTATGGACTTTAAAAGTAGTTACATGAATTTAAAAAAAACTTTATTGCATGCTAATACAGTACCGGTTATCATTTCATTTTTTCTTTTCTTTTCTCCCAAAGCCGTTGCTGCTAGTGGTGTGGAAGATGTAAGGACAGTACTGGAATTCTACCAACAGTTTGAAGACCCGATGGAAGCATTCAGGATTAACCAGGCCAGATTACAGGTCAGAGCAATGCTTAAACCCTGCTAGAACTCCCATCTTTGTGGTCAATTATCCTATATAGGAACTTACAAAATACAATTTTGACTTCAAAATGCTCAGTTTCATTAATACATTGGGCAGAAAATATCATCCATGGAATTATACTTCATGATAGAGGGGATTTTTTCTGTTTCTAGAAGAAAAATAGAGACCTTGTCAGTCAAAAAACATTGTACAGCACTGAAATTCTTGGGAAGGAGTTCATGTATTTTGCTTAATTTTGTAAGTAAGTTTTAAAATTCAATTTAAAGTGAGAAGACAATTTCCGTGATTGTCTGATACCCTTGCATGAGGTTCGGGTGATATTCAGGATTAGATAATCAAGAGCTATGCATCATAATGTGGAGGAACATTGAGAAACCGTCATGATGTTATGAGTATTCAATGAAAATACTTCATTGAATACTCATAGACTTGCAGCATGTGTGTCAATTTAATGGAGTATTGCTATTGACCGACCCTACTAGCCTGCAGAAACAGTGTACATGTTGTATTTATCATTATACATACAATTAAACAAACTTTCTTGTGTTTGATCTATTTGTAAATGATAAAAATCAATTGAGCTGTAACAAAATACCTTGTAATAAGGAGCATTAATTAGAACATTAGTTTGAATGTAATATTTTGTATTGATTTGTTATTGTAGAGTGAGCAAGAGGAAGAGGCGAAGAGAATAGCAGAGGCCAAGGAGAAAGGTGGCTCATCACTAGTAGGAGGTTGGACCAGGGGATTGATTGGAAGAAGATGAAACTCCATCAAAGTACTAGTGTGAACAAATCTGTCTTGTCAGCACCTTACTAATGTGAACATGGCCTATCCGTTATCTCGTCTCTGATGTTCTGCCAGGAGAAACGCCTCTTTGTACCTCAATATGCAGAATTCAGATTTTCTTTTTTGTACAGTCAATGAATTAAATAACACAGTACCTAAGAAACTCATATTGTATGTTGAGACCCAGAATTAACTCTATAAGGAAGAGTGGGTTAGCAACCTTCTGGCTCAGCTGATGAGATGAAGGCATTTCTGGTTGATATATCATTAATAATATGGACTCTATACACATTAATATTAATATTATGTCCATATTCCACATAGGCGTTTTCAGAATTTGTACTTTTGTCTAATTATGTTGTATTCTGTGACAGTGTTTTCAGTATATATATCTATTCTCTAAATGGTATATGTTATTAAGACCACTGTTAGGGATTCTAATTTCAATTTACAAACAGTCAGGTAAGAAAATGAACCTAATCATTGTGAAAAGATAGTGTCTAAATGTTATACTGTAAAAACAGAAAATGTCACATGCATGAAAGTTTCATGCAGGGAATTGGTAAATAGATTTAACTCTATGAAAAAGAGTTAATCACAATTTGCACAACATTAGATTTTTGCAAATGGCGAATGTTTCTTAATTCTTACCATGAAAATGGCAGTCCTTCAAATAGCAATTGTCAAGTTCCATGTCGAGACAGTTTCTGGCGATACTCAGTACTTTATAATATGTCTTTTTCAAGCATTGGCTTGTTTTCTCATCTAGTGCCAAGATGCCTGATGAGGATTTTCAAACATGGACTGTGGTAGATAAAGTTATTTGATTTCTTACTACTCTCTTCAAGAAAGTAGTCTTTTATAGTCTGCTCTTTATATGATATTTGCATAAAGAAAAGTATAAAGGATCATTGTGAAGCAAAAGGAGGATTTACAGACTAGTAAACTTCATCCTATAAATGAAACATTGTAGAAAGAAACCAATTTTGAAGAGATCCAGTGACGTGACAGGTGGCCAATCGTCATTCCTCACCTTAACTGTATATCCCGCCCTCTTAGACAATGTTTGTACACTATGATGTTCAAACCAGACCCTGATTATCAAGTTTTCGTTTGAACGATGCTCAAATATGCATTTTGCTTTACATTCTGTTATACAACGTTCAGGACTACCAGAGTTCATTGTATCCCTATAAGAGAATCGTATAGATTTATGATGAACTGTGAGCGCTGGGTATGAAAGTATGTGTATATTTATTTCTTGGCCATCAATCATCATGCCAGCCTTTTCTTTGCTAACAGGAAGAGTTTGGTTATAAGGATAGGCATCTTCAGTATCAAGGTCCTGTCTTCATTTGCCAGAGGTTTCAAAATACCATTGCCCTTGTGATAGTAGTAACTCTATTCCAAGCAAACTAAGATTAGTGTGAAATAGCCTGCTCATCTGGTGAAGATGCATGTGGAGTATGGCTCGACTAGGGCTAATGAAGTGAAGATTGGACACTCAAACCCTGCAGGCCTGCATTATTTTCTTGAGAAGCCATTGATTAGTTTAATATCTCAAACTTGAGCTTGCTATGTGAGTAAAATTCATGTTTGATATGAATGAGTGAGCTGGTACTGTCAGCATTTGTATTTTCGTATTGGGGATTTTTATAACAGGATCATTTTGAATATTTTTAGGACAATTTACTTTAACTTTTACTTATGCTCTTGGTAAAATAAGAGAAAAGAAAAATTACAGTGGTCATTTGGATTTGCTTTAATTCATCTTCTATTTGTTCTTAATATCACTTAGGGAAAATTAGATTTGTTCATTACTACAGTCAATTTCATCCCATTTTGTGAATGCATTTCAACATGAGCCTTTGACCAGTTTGCAGGCAAAATCTTAAAACCAAACACTTCGAATTTTCATTTAAAATGCACTTTATGATTTTATATTTATCTTCTCATTATGAGGATGGGGTTAAGGACAGTTGTATGATTGGCTGAAATCTGCTTCTACAATAATGACGTTTTGAAGCAAGTGACTCAAAACAAAATGGAGGCTATTCAGTCATTTAATTCTACAATTGTCCTATGAGTATTAAAGACAAATGTGAATTTATTATCAAGTACAGTTATATTGTGAAAAATAATTGCCATTGATGAACATTACTGCACTTATTAATTTTCTTTTATGTATAAAGAAATGATATTAAATAGAACTTACGTATTCTGGCAGCTTTTTTTTACAGTGAGAAATATAAGAATTAAACAGATATCAAAATAAATGTAAAAAGATCAGTTTATAACCGTGTTTGAAGTGTATGTAACTACATTTATACTTGTAATACTACTCTGCTTATTACACAAGACATTAATGTAACATAATTAATAGGAGGGTGGGTGCTTTTAAATTTTACTTACAATTTAAAATGAATAAAAAAAGAACATACATAGATATATTTGTTTTTCTTTAAGAGTTAAATTTATATTTCAACAACACACATTTATTTGGCAAGTTTGAACAAAATGGTATTCTAAAAATTATATGTACTCCAGAATTTTATATATTAAAATAAGCAATCATATTGAATATAAACAAATAGGTATACATAGTTACACACTTTACAATTCACATATTTAAAATAATCATTTTGATTAACAAAACAGGGACTGAAGCCTTGTGATAGCAAAGATTTGATCATCTCCACAAGAAAATGAAATACACGTATTAATGTGTACCAGCAATATCAAACAGCATTATTCACTTTTTTCATATAAACATTTTAAAGATAAACTTTAGTTCTGGTAATGCGATTGCATTGTGAAAGAAAAGGTGTGGAAAGGATCAGAAACAGTTGATCATGTAGCATGTAAGTATTGGTGTGCACTGCAAGGTTCTGGAGTCATCAAAATCATAATAAATTTGACCGAGTCTTGGTAAAGTAACAAGCACTCACATAGAAAGCTATATATGGGACAACACACATGGTGTCGGGGCTAGTACTACCTTGATTTCCTTGTCTTTCTATGCTCATTACTCAGCCAGTATACATTTTCTTCCAAAATTGTTTGGCACATGTCATTTATTTGTAATCTTGAACATTCAGTGTAAGTTTCGTTTGATTCTGTGAGAATTTTTTTTTTTTTTTTTACCAGTACTGGAGTTTATCTTTAATATTTGTTTCTTCATTCCATGAAAGACATCAGGCAATGCCAAATCATGTGTAAAATATGATAATAAATTCAATGCTGATTACTTTTGACCATGTGGTCACATTTTTGGCACTTATTCAAGTACATTAAACTTTATTAATTTCTCTTAAAGGTAAAGACCAGTAATGGTCATGCGATTGCATTGTGAAAGAAATGTTGTGGAATCGATCAGAAAAGGTTGATCATCTAGCATCTAGCATCTGCAAGGTTCTGGAATCATCAAAATGATAAGAAATTTGGCCCATTCTTCGTAAAGTTACAAGCACTATACACAGAAAGATGTATATGGGACTACCCTATCTCTCTCACCAGACCATGAGAGAAATAAATTTACCAAATATATGAATTAGTAGGCGGTTTCCCGGCAAATTTTTTATCATCATGTATTAGTCAAAACATATTCTTTCACATGATTGGTGGTGAGAGCTTCCATTTCATTTTTTGAAATTGGGGCGTTGCCAATACTGGTCTTTACCTTTAACCCATTGTCATGGAGAAGCAGGTACTACCTGTATTAAACCTGTGTTACACCAAGGAGAACCTAGGAGAGAGAATGAGAAAAAACAAAAACCAACAGTTTCAATTATAGCCGTTGGTTCTCCTTGGTTCTATGAATTAGAATGACTGTATGACTTTTCTTTAGGAAAAAAATTGACAACCATTCTTAAACAACATTTATTTGTATTCGAACACAAAACATACCAATATAAAGTGTGTAAATAACATGTTTATGTGACATCAGCATGGTAAAGATTATCACTATTGCATCATAATTTGTCTTTACCTCTGACATTATATTACATCATTCTTCAACAACATTTATTTGTATTCAAACAAAAAATATTACTATTTATTGCATCATATACTTGTATCATAGTAATAATAATTAAATCAATTTTTATGGCGCAGCTACTATATAAATATACTCTACTGCACCGTGATCATATATCATTATGATTACACATGTACATATAAATTGCCTCAACATTCCAAAGCTATTATATACAGGCTAATTTTGATGTAAAATTTGGTCACTTCTGACTGGAAAAAAATCTATTTAGTATTTTTTTCTTGAATGACACACATTGGTATTTACTGATTCTAAATTCATAGATAGGCACTGCAGCAACATATAGGAGATCAAATATTGTTTGGTTTGGTTTGGTTTTCCTTGACTGAATTAATTTGGTTTACCAATTTCAGTTAAATGGTATTGCATAAAATTGCAAATATTGAGCAAATCCTTATATACACGTTTATCTTCATATATTAAACAAATTCAAATTTTCATCTCCTATATATGCCGATGACAGATTATTATTATATGTGCAATATCCTATTTCTACAATATCATGATTTGGACATCTCATGCAAGTTAGGCATCAAGTTCCTTGGTATAATGTTTTCCACTTTAGGCTTACTGTAGCTATAACTAATTGTGTAATGATAGAGAAGATTGAAATAGCAATCATTGACATTCTACATTCAAGAATAATAATGTGATTACAAAGGACAAAAGCAAAGTTTCATCACATTTTCTCCACATATTTTATTATACCGGTAACTGAAAATAATTTTTCAAATGATTTAAAAACTTAAAGATTAAACAAATTAAAGATTACAAAAAAGGAACAAGAGTACTAACACATTTCATTAACTCTGGAATTATGTTGCAGAAACTCCAGGACTTATAGCTTGACAAAAATTACAAGGTAAAAAGGAAAAATAGTAATTACACTACAACTTTTAAAAAAATGCAATAAGGAAATCCTAAGGGATATGGATAGGACTTGCATCCTGACTGAAACAATGATGAAAATACTAATTAAACAAAATTGTGTTCATTACAACCCTGACATTAAGAATCCCCAGGGTCATAGCTTGACTGAAACAATGACGAGTGATGGCCATAGTGCTGTGACCCAACACCCCCAGGGTCTTATTAACACACCAGTAATATGGACAAAAATGGTTTAATTATCACTCTCCCTAGCCTTGGTAGTGGATGCTCTTTGACAGTGCAGTCACGGTGTTGGTATGATCCGGGGCTGCAGTTACAGGATGATATAACAGTTGGTGACCATTCACTAATGAAGAGACTCCCAGGAGAAGGAATGTCCACTGTTACCTAGAATCCATCTCTAGTTACATAATTCCTTATGGATCTGCACCTGGAGTAGGAAAACGATAGTAAAAAGCACATCGGTTAAGAGAGTTATGTAATCAACATGGTCACTGACTCCCTGGCTTTTTTATGATTAACATCCATTAATCTCTCTTCTGATGATAATTTAATTTTTTCAGAAGACTAACTTTAATGACTGTTTATTTCATCATCATATGTATAAGATTATGATTGTATAACGCATGTTCCAGCAATATTAACTCCAAAGTCGAATTTCTAACCAATTTCATAGCTAACTTTAGCCTAATCGCAACCCTAACCCCTTATTTTTGACGAAATACACTCGGCCAGCTTGGATCCCAATAGATATGGACATCACAGGTCATAACATTGTCTGTATGTAAAACTAAATGAAACCTAAAGCCCAGTTTAACATCCTATTGGTTACAACACAGGCCCAATGAGCCACAAACCCTATAAGCTGCAGAACCAGGTTCAACCCCCTAAACACTAAAAATTTCTTCTTTTTCTTTAAATACAATATGATTTTTTTTGGACAGTGTCAAACAGTGCAACTCCTAATTGATTTTACCACACTTAACATTTATACAGTCGATATCCTGCGGAGAAACAAATAAAGGATTTAAGATGTAAGTTATATATGCACATCCATATAACTTAATACACCATTCTGGCCCCTTTGGAGATAATACAAAGTAAAGCTTATAGTAGTTTATCAGAGAGAGAAAGAGAGAGAGAGAGAGAGAGAGAGAGAGAGAGACAGAGAGACAGACAGAGAGAGAGAGACAGACAGACAGAGAGAAGGGGGAGGGAGGTTACTGACTTCTTGCAATGTTGTACAAGAAGTTAAGAATATAGAACTTAAATTAAAGGCAGGCTTTACTACTTCAGCTAGAAGGGATTAGACCACCAGCGAGCCAGCGAGGTCACTGTGACAGGTGGCTATCTCATTAACTCAGCTCTCATTTAACATAAGAAAAAGAGGATCATGTGGGACCAACAGGCACCGATTGGGGAAGTTTTCTATATAGAGGGAGCAAGTAGCTACAAGTAGGACAGTGTGCCTTTAAGTCAATGACCTTTCCATGTGATAAAACATATTAGTAATAGATTCACCTCTGGTTATCTCTAAGAAGCTTATGAGATTGCAAACAATGTCTATCATTTGGTACACATTAATGTGCAGTCAGAAGGGCATGACGTTTTATGACTTTAAATGTAGTTGGTGTCAGTCTAGTTCTCAGTCGTTCCACAATCTATGTCATTCTAAAGTAGTACAATCTACCTAGAAGTAAGCTTATTCAGAATTGTAATCAAATCTTTACTTTACTTGTGACCCATAGTTTCAGCTTGATCACACCCTCTATAGTCCATAGCTTTACAGTTTGATTCAGCCTTCCATGGATAGAAGAGAGTAATGGTAAGTTTTAACAACAACAAATGAATATCACAATCTTTATTGGAATATTTGGTTTATTTATTGGACAATCTTATTTTTTTAAAGACGCAGTGTGTCAACAAAAATCACCTCTATATGCACACTCCACTTGTTAACAAAAATGTTTGCAGCCATTAAAAATGCTATTGGTATATGTGAAATTAAGTATTCATTGTGGTATACCATACTATATCTATCATATTAGTTTTAAAGTACTGATGTTAAACTCCAACTGTGACCTTAGGCTAAATTTACGGTGAATTTCTAAACACACACAATATATATAATCAATTTGTCCCACACAAAAGAATGGAAGAGGAACTAGGTATTACACCAATATTAGTCCAGTACTTACTGTACTGAAACTCTCATGAATTCCCTCCAATTAACAAAATTACTCTGATTCTGAGCTGACTTGCAATAACCCCACCAAACGACACCACAGAGTATTGAATCAAAACTGAGACAATGATAAAGAGATTATGTTTTATCATAGGACAACATCTCTCTAAAATGACCTTTGACATCAATTAGTAGGAGCTATTAAGATTAAATGTGGACATAATGAGTGGAAACATGTCAGCATCAGCTGCCTGATTCTCATGGAGATTAGAATGCAATCCTGGAAATAAATAAAGTCCAAATGTGAAACAGAGACCCGATTCAATCATACAAGATTGACTAACAAGGAACACGTTAATCTTAAGATATGAGCTTCGGTTTCGAGGCACTGCTACTACAGCAAATTAATAACAGACAGGAATAATGCTGTGCAAAATTAGACCATCTCAGAAGCCTATCGATGATAACTGCATTCACTGATCTTAGCTTCATAATTAGCCTTTAATTCGACTTTCAGATTCAGTTATTAATTTTTGTAATTGTAATGAAATGTAGATTTTCAATTAGGTTCTCAGACATACTTGACCTGACATTAATCATGCTGAGACAAGCACAGCATACACCCAAAACATATGCAAGAGCACCATCTATTGGTGAACATCAGGTAACCACACAAGCTGCATGCTTCATGTAGCCTACTGACAAAATCCCATTCAACAGTGTTTGTCAGTTACCGTACTAGTATCAAAGGAAATGAGCTGCATTCAATGCTACTCTACCTTCAAAGCGAGTGTTTAAAAATGCAATCACTTAGCATGCCAATATTAAAAAATGGCATGGGCAGATTTGCTACCAAAATACATAACAAGCTAAAAATTCTTCAAACTATTAATTTGTTTTAGTTAATTACTGCATGCTTTAGCTTCTCCATTCATCTTGCAAAGCTGGGTAAAGCAAGATTTAAACTTTTCTTTCAAAGTACTAAATGCTATTCTTTGCTTGAAACTTTCTAACAAATATATCTTTACAAGTAATTCTAGGCTGTGATTGTAAAACATGTTCACAAGTCCGATGCCAAACAGCAAACTTCAATTATACATCATATTTCTGCAGTTTAAGGAAGACACAAATAACAGTATTTCTCCTGGGGGTTGCATGATATGTAACAATATGAGCTCATTTCCCTCTAGTGAGAAAGAGAATTAACTAGAATGAAAACAATGTCCTTCTAACACTTCTGACATCTTAATTGGACAATGAATGAATCAAGAAAGCATTTTTAATCATGATGTATTCATATCTCATTGACAATCATATTTTAAAAGGAAAAGAAATCCTGTTTTTCCCTCTTTATTTCATTCAGAAAATGAAGGAAAGTAGTGGTCTCTGGAGAATAGCCTGCAGATACTAATTAGATGTAATTTGGAGTGAATGTATGAACATAATGATTGTGATTAGCTCATACTCTCTAATGTAACAAGAACTGCAGGTGCAAACATAATTGGGCCCGGGAGAGCCACGTGGTATGATTCTTATCAATGGTACATGCTCAATTAAAGCTTTGAAAGAAACAAGACAAGGGACAAATAATCTGAGGTAAACGACTCTAAGGAGAGTAGTTACACAAAGAAATGTTGAGCAAAAGACTTCATTACAAGGCAATGAAAGCCACAAAGAGTTACTTGATATCATTAACTCTCAGAAGAATTAAATAGATATGAATGCTGGATAAGACTATGATATATGGACATGCACATATGTATGGTATAGTGGTAGTAGTGGTAGTGGTAGTGGTAGTGGTGGTAGTAGTGGTAGTGGTAGTAGTGGTAGTGGTAGTGATAGTAGTAATATCAGTAGTTGTATTAGTAGTAGTAGTCGTAGTAGTAGTAGTAGTAGTAGTATTAGTATGACATGTAGTAGTAGTGGTAGGGAGACGAGGAGGGAGGGGGATGAGGAGGGAGGAGAGAGGAGAGAGGAGGAGAGAGGAGGAGGGAGGAGATGAAAGGATTGGGAGGAAGGGGAGAGAGGAGGGAGAAGGAGGGAGGAGGAGAGAGGAGGATTGGGAGGAAGGGGATGGAGGAGGGAGGAGGGAGGAGGAGAGAGGAGGAGAGAGGAGGAGGGAGGAGATGAAAGGATTGGGAGGAAGGGGATGGAGGAGAGAGGAGGGAGGAGGAGAGAGGAGGAGGGAGGAGGAGAGAGAGGGGGAGGAGGAGAGAGGAGGAGGGAGGGAGGAGGAGAGAGGAGGAGGGAGAAAGAAGGGGGAGGAGGAGAGAGGAGGGAGGAGGACAGAGGAGGAGGGAGGAGGAGAGAGGAGGATTGGGAGGGGAGGGAGGAGGAGGGAAGAGGAGAGAGGAGAGAGGAGGATTTGGGAGGAAGAGGAGGGGGAGGAGGAGGGAGGAGGGAGGAGGAGAGAGGAGGAGAGAGGAGAGAGGAGAAAGGAGGAGAATAATACTTGATTATTTATATTTCGGTACTTCTCATCCTACTTCCACTAATAATTAAACAAACATAGACAAAAAACATATTTTAGCACTTTAGTATTGCATAACCTGAAATTTCCAGCACTACCACCACTACAACTGCAGACACTTTATAATAGAGCATCATTTTTCATTATCGCACCACAATTTTTCTACTGGGTCTATGAAATATACTGCTACTACTAAGGTATTAGGGTTTTTTTTAAAGAGCTTTACTTTGAATGTATAGATTTTCAATAAACTGCTTGCAGATTGAAGCAAGCACCATGATCTTCATACTTCTATAAATGCCTAGGGATTTATTTACAAATAAATGAGCAGTTACAGTAAAAACAAAAACAGAACAAAACAAAAAACACTAATTGAATTAGGTGATAAGCTTATTGATTTCTCCCACTGTTTTCAATGTCACATCAATATCCTAGTAGGGTACCTAGTGCACTGTGAGAACCATGTGGATTAGAATACAAATAACCTTCACTCGAAGTTCAAGAATACTGTGTTGACATTTCATTTGAGAAATATTGAGTCTATTAGCAACTAGTTCATGAAGATAAATACAGATATAATCTTGCAAAATTAATGAGATGAGATAAATTCTGTTTCTTATCTTAAAATAACGAGAGTAGATTGACACAGAATTGTAATATTCTTTGTTACAAATTAGGACTAAAAATCATTGTGGTCAGCTATCACTAATGATGAACATGATAAGAATACTTGATTACCTCATCATGAATTGTAGGTCTCTATCTTTCATCTCTCTATTAAATTCATTCATGAGAAGTAAAAAAGCACAAAGGATAATTGTAATTCTGTTTACTCTTTGTTAGTGATGATGATGTCAAGAACAAAACAACCCTATTCATGAATTTATTACCAAAAGATACCAAACGGTCACAGCTTGTGTGAATGAATGAAATATATTTCTGACCCATATCCTGAAAAACAAAGAGAATTAATGAGCTTGTCATCTCCTTTTTCATACTTTGAAGTATCAACTTCTGGGAAAAGAACACAATGGAATGCATATATGGAATGAATGATGACATTTTTAAAACCTGTGGTTTCATGTACCACAAATTGAATATAATAGTGACGTTCAGATTAACCATTTCCCATACTCATACCCAACTCTACGCAATCATTCCCTAACCCACGAGATTGCCTACGTCATTATTGATCAACATTACAGGCAGCTTCCTCTCTCTACTCCTTGTATGGATCGGAGAGCAATACAAACAACCATTAATGAAGTAGAGGAAACTTCTGCCATGACTTTGGTCATCACCATCGCCTGGGTTTCAACAGAATCAGTACAGCATGGAGCAGACTCTCTCATTAGCCTCAATTAGATGAACCATTTTGTTTTTAAGAGACATGAAAGAGCACGGTGGACTTAACTGGATCCTCCTAATGTCCAAAACGAATAATCTTCGCCTTGATACGCCACTAACGATGGCAAACATCATTATCACTCAGCAGCCTAAGATATATCTGCTGCTGAATGCACTTGAAGGCATGCTAAGATCTAATCTTGGACAGTCATTAATTAGCCTCAACATAGACTGTGTTCCTTAATGACATTGGCTACACTGACTAATGATTAAAAGGAGTAATTTGGGATGGTACTTGACTGCCAAAGCCAAAGGAGCCTTCTTTATTTTCTTTTGCTAATGAATTCACAAACAATGGCATGTTTAAAGAAAGGTTTCTGATCCCCCAACATGTACTTCAGCTAATTTGGAGGAAATGAGGCTGATTAAAATGATGGCTAAAATATGCAAATTTAA